TAATGATTTCTATACTTTCCCTAAAATAAAGAATAAATTGCGTGGTCAGAGATTTTCATCACCTGAAGAAGCTGTGGAAGCCTACAAAACGGCCATTTTGGAGACCCAAACTTCCGAATGCAATGGTTGCTTCAATGATTGGTTTCGTGTATGGAAAAATGTGTCAAATTTCGCGGAGAATACTTTAAAAAGCAATAAATACATTTTTAAATAGTAATGTTGTTTCACTTCCTTGATTCCCGAAATTTTCAGTGCCGCCCTCGTAATTAAAGACAAATAGACTTCCCATTGGCATCGTTAAAATTACTTTGATTACGTATTTGGAGATAGTATCATTAGCAATTTCCCTTAATTAACCTAGAGTCTGTGGTAATGAGAGTCAATTAATACAGTCAGCATCAATTAGTTTGTGACACGCAAAGTAGCCAATAAGTTCGCAGCTAGATGACATAATTTAAATTATTTGTTCGTCAGACAGATAATTAGAAAATATTAATCTCATATTTTTTATTTTCTTTCATAATTAAATAATAACAGCGCGACATTTCAACTCAATATAATACTGTAATTATTCGATTATGAAAAAATTAAAAAATATGTGTCCAAAATTTTTTTTATTATTTGTCTGACGGACTAAATAGAACTTCGATTTCATTACCCAGTCATCATCCCTTATCAACTTTTTGGACACTGAGTATCACGGACTATTTGACGATAACTGTTGCTCATTAAATAAATAAATAAACTGTACGTACAAGCTTCAGTTTAAATGTGTGGCCCATACATTATCAGAAATTATGAAAAAATTGCTAAATATAAAAGTAACTTACAAGTCTTAGACTGGTTCACCATCTACTTCTATGACTGATAGAGTTTAAAACAATACTTTTGAATACAATAACTACTATAATGCAGATAATTTTATGACTTTTTAACCATTACAATTTTATTAACAAAGAAAAATAAAGAACAAAGTCGTGACATATCAATAAAATAAATTAATGAAGACTCGTCACGTCTTGAATATTAATTTAACTAGAGATAAGCACTTAATACGTATTTTAACGCTTAATTAGGTTTTCAACCTGCAATTTGCGATAGTAAATTTTAATGCATTTTCAATTCTTTTTTTTGTAAAAAAAATGTTACCAAAATGTTACCCATTTCAGATATTGTAACTTTAAACATGGATTAGTTTCAAGTTGCCCAAATATACTGACATAATTTTGTTTCTTTCCCCTTTCTCTGAATGATACTGAACTGACGTCTTCCAGTGACTTGGCCCACTTTTAGCTTGGTCCACGGGCCAAGTAGCTGAATTTTTAAATAGTTTTTCTTCCAGTGCCGCGAAAGAATGTCTAGGCCGTCCAGCTCGGATAATAACTCGCAGCTCCGTCCCAAAGACTGGGAGGACACACCGTCAGGTTTTAGTGAGTAGGCCCTGCCCATCTGGCAGGGAGAGCCTCACATAACCCACTGGTTCCCCCGGGCCAGTGGCTATGCAATTTCATGCATTTCCTGACGAAAAAAAAGACCTGACTGATAGATATTGTTGGTACACTGCCTCTACCTTTTCGCACTAAGCTTGTCCATTTTAGAGCTCTCATTTAACAGGATTTCCAGTGGACCAGCTATAGCAGGGACTATTCCCAACGCTGCAACTCCTGTGTAGCCAGGATCTACAGCTTGACCGCCAATAAAAACCCAACCAGTGAAGGTCCAGTTTATCGTGAGGAAATGTCATTGGGCATGCAACGAAATTCATCATAACATAGGAGTACGAAGTTAAGGTTCGAGTTCCCTCCATTACAGTTTTCTTATGCCCGTTTTCACCATCAATACCTAATTTTAAGTGACCCCTATGAAAACAATTTTATTTTATAATGAAAAATTAGGGATTAATGGTGAAAACGGTCATCCGTCATCATCAGTCGGAGACGGCCCAAGTCTATTCTAACCTCTCCTATCAAAACCCTCCCCCTCCCCTCCTTAGTAACTAGCCACGCCCCTCTATGCATCTTCCTACGCATACAGTGCGCACGCGCCGCGAAGTCATACGCGAAGTCATGCGTGTAATTATGCAACCGGTGAAACCGTCGACTACGATTGTCAAACCTTACTGATTTATTTGGAACTTGAGGATGTTAATTGATTTTGGTATTTATTAAACACTAATTAATTAGTAACACACATTAAACACTAATTAATTGGTATTTATTAAACACTAATTAATTACTAATTAATTATTATACTTATTAAACACTAATTAATACGTGTACGTCACCTGTTTTAATTTAACAAGTACTGTTTTGCGAAATGAAGCATGAAGCAAGCCCTGTATTATAAAAATTCAAAATTTAATACAAGTTCAAAACAAGAACCTTTTTGGGACATCAAGCTAAACACGGCATGGCAAGGCAAAAGCGACGATTGACTTCATCATCATCATCATTTCAGCCACAGGACGTCCACTGCTGAACATAAGCCTCCCCCAATGATTTCCACATCAAAGGGAGTCCCTGCAAGTTAGGGACGCACGTTTGATTTACATTTTCCCTTTTCTCTGGTAAATAGGAGGACACTATTTTTTGTTTGAAATCTACTTTTAAGCCACTTTTAGAATAAACGAGATTTCTGTCTATCCACTTCTTTTTCACTCTTATGGCGATGTGTATCCTCGTAGGGTAATGTCACATGAGCATAGTTAAAGACAGATAAACTTTTGAGCCATGCCAATGTAATCTAGAATTCTAGATACTCGTAATATTATTCCAAAGACATGACGTGTAATACTTAATTTATTTCGATGATGTCAGCATGCTGAAAATGTACTAAAGATATTTAAGTGCTGCTGATTGGATATTCCATTTCCACGTTTGTAACGTAATGCGTAAGTCGGATAGGTATCAAGATACGCGGATACAGCTTATATCTCGATCACCATCTACCAGATTATCTTTAAACTTATCTACCATTTTAGGTATTTTTGGTTAAAGTGTGCCTATCAAGATATTATGCCGAAGGGAAGCCGGATATATTCGTAGGTAGGTATATTATTAATTTTCCTTAGTCATTCTGTATCTTGTTAGCATTTTTCAGACTGAAATAACAATATGTGCTGCTCACTCACTTACTCAAGTGCCCCGCAGATCGTTGTGACCTCTTTCATACGTAATTCTATACAATTTATTACGTTTATTACACAAATCGCTCTACCCTGGGATATAACTCTTACTAGATGGATTATTGGCAGTTACACTACGTTAAACTGTAAATCCTAGCAACACAGGAGTTGCATTGGTGGGGCTGGGAAGCTGGGAACCCTAAAATGGCCTGCATGTATGTTATTTTACGATGTTGACTGTTCAATAAAAGTATCTTACGGTCCTTCAGCCGAGCTTATTGCAATAATAAGTTTGCATCATCTCTTGACTATCACGCGACTCCTGCGCACGTTCACGTGTCCCGCACAGCACGAGTTCGAGTGCTCTACTCCCAATCAGTTTGTTTTCTGATGGCTACAATGTACAGTCGCACGTCTAAAGTTCAGCGCACACAGAGGCGGGAAACGCGGGAAAGAGGTCGCGATCCGGGAGTCCAGGACGATATTTTTTTGTAGTTTGTAGTAAAATCAAATAGAAAGTGGACGCCTCCCAGCGCGATACGCATTCACTGCTTCGCGCTGGATCGCTATCGGATCGCCTTCCCGCCTCTGTGTGCTGACTTGAAAGCATTTGTCACACTGCTCTCTGCTGTCTACGGTCAAGTCAAATGAACACAGCCCGCACCTGTTACTTTACACGTACTTTGCTTGGACCCGCACTTTCAGATCGCATCAAAGAGATTGCAGGCTGCGTTCACTTTGACCTGACCGCAGACCGCATTCAGTGTGGCGAATCCTTAAAACACTGCTGAGTCTTACGTAGTATTAGTAAAAGTGCTACTTTTTGCAATAAAAATGTATAGTCTGATATGCTGTCGACTGTACAGTCAGCGTCAAATAGTTCGTGACACCCAGAATGGCCAAAAAGTTGACAACACATCCTTATTCCGATTGTAACAAAGACGTGTTTCGAACTTATTGGCTAGGTACTTCGGGTGTTACGAAATATTTGACGCTGACTGTACCTACCTACTGAAAATAGTCGTACTGACGTGTGCAGCATACTGACATATCTTTATCTGGTTACAAAAGGTGAAGGAAACAGTTTTTAGATGACTGATAAGCGACTTTATCGTTATGCTGACGATTCTGTTGTCTCTTACATAACGTATAGAATCTCAAAATATTGAAAATAAATGTCATACCTATTGTAGTTTTATTATCAGTTTTGAAACTATTGAAGAGCTTAAAAGCAGCCTAGCTTAACTCCTTGGAATAAGTTTTTTAAACTCTCAAACAGAAAAAGCCCACTAAAATTTAAAGTTTCAAATACCCACTACATTGTTTATGAGTAAAGTTTTAAAAATATAATTTACTATAAACAATAATTACCTACTACAACATTACTAACCCAGTTTCTATCCCACAATATGTATATTTTAGTTTATGAATGACTAATTTAATTTTTTCGCCCATCAATATCCCTGTAATTCACATTCCTGAGGTTTACACCTATACCTACAATTATCCTGATTTTTCTTCTCATTCAGTGGTTAAAGAAAACAATTTGGTTTAAAATCTAAAAATACAATTTATTAGGAATGTAGAAATGTTACAATCTAAAATGCAAATTCTACTTTGTTCGTACAGACTAGTTCAATTTTACTTTTGGCTTTGGCAAATAAAATGGTATTGAAATTTGTTGGTAGTTGAAATATATGAAAAACATAACATAATGGCAGCATGAGTACATAGAAACTAACAGTGGGAACAGGTCTGGGTATTGCGGTGGCGGCTCGACACAGACTGAGCCAATAGTCAGCCAGAACATACCTAGGAGTGAAAAGAAAAAGGCAGTGCTAAGGAGCTTCATAAATACTGAGCTCTCCCTTTTTTGGGAAATTGTCTGGTACACCAAACTGGCATTCATGAAGGAGAAAACCCCAGCGTTCAGCCGAGCAAGCCTCAGGCAGATAGTAAAGAAACTAATGTAAATTACATTAAGTCCAACAAAAGGAATTATCAAGCCATCTTTGATCAACAATGGCAGCATACTGAAATTAGAGACTAGCAAGAACCAGAAACTCATGAATGGGTCATCTGGTAGATGCAACGCAACCGGAATGGCCACTAGTAATATAGACTTTTCATGAACTTGAAAAGAAAATAGGAAAAATGCTAACGAAACATTGATAAGGCATAAAACAAACTTCTTTCTGTTTATTCTGAAAAACATGTCAGCGCATGAAGGAAGCGATGCCACTGCTGTCATCGAAAGGCACATCTGTGCCATAGTCTCATTGGTATAAAACGTCTTTAATTTTATAAATACATTAACAAAGCACCACACATTTGAGACCTTATCCTCAAACACTCCTCGTTTCAATGGAAATAGTCTGTGCAAGACTTGGAGAATATTTTGCCAGGAACCAGAAAGGGGATACCAGACAATTACAAAAGTTGTAAATACAGCTATAGCTAATTTGTTGAAATTACAAAGAAAATGAGCTAATTTGCCCTTAGGAGGCATTCCAATAAAACATTTTCTGAGTAAATAAACAAAAAATGGCAGAGCATGATACAATTCCATTTGTTTATAGTTTAGGGCAAGACAGAAAATCATAGTTGCTAAAACATCATTCTCAATGGCAACAATAAAGAAAGTAGCCCACAGAAACAGGCCAAGCGACACACAGTTGTACTGAAAATGTCCGTGGTCTATCAGTATCATGCCTGGGTACAATAACATTAGTACAGTAGACAGGTCAGTCCTCTTGAACACAGGTATATGAGCGTCTCTGAACCTCACACGTTCCAAGTCAATACATAAACAGAGCACAGCGGTCACGAAAAAGTACATATCACTGAGGAAAACTGTCCATCTCATGAACATCTTGTGGGATTCACTTTCATAACCTCTCGATGCGAAAAGGCGCACGGATTCGGGGTCCCACCAGTCCGCAACGAGACCCATCAGGAAGCTGTGGTATGCCGTCAAAGGGGGGTAGTCTAGACCCCAGTACTCAAGGTCGTTCTGCGTCGTGTTGTGGTACCATTGTATGACAGGAGTATGTACCGTGATCTCCTGCCAATGTCTCTGCGCTTCGTAGTCCCCGTACATCGGGGGTTTCTTGTACCCAGAATAGGGGTACGCGGCGACACACCAACGCACAAGTAGGGCGAAGAAAACACCGGCCAGCAGCGCATCTTTTGTGACATTGAACCTATCCGGGTCCGCTCGTCGTGTCATTACGCCAATACGAACACACTAAATTACGATTTTCACTTGTGTTCATTCACAAAATGAATTTATTATGACGCGGCATGCGGTGGTCAATACAAAATTTTGACAGGTACTTACGACGTGAACGGCGTCCAAATCCTTGATCAGCTTTTCTTTGAGATATCCTTCCGTATACACCATATTCGTCAATTAAAATCCATTCATACACGTGCACAGTCCACAAAACTACTGCACCACACACTCCGATTTCCGAAAACTAGTTCCTCTTCACGTTGGGAACTTGGTTTTTTTCGAAAGTGAGAAAATGAGAAAGTGGACCACTCTCGAAAGTGAACTTGACTTGCGGCCGCAATCCTGAAGAACTTCAAGTCGGATGCGTTCCTCCATGTATTATCCGACCAAATTAAGAGATATCTATTCGGGCGAAATTCAATACAGTTTCAAAGCAATTTTTCTGAGGCAGGCTTATCGTGACCTTGACCGGGTTACATAAACTCACGTCCAACTCACGCCATTGTCACTTCTATTACAAAAAATAAGAAAAATGTTAAAAATTTTGAATAGAGCAAAAAAGTCATAATTTTTTCTGATTATTTCTGTATTTTTTTATTGCGTGAAAATTACAAAGATTAAAATTACCGCTAAAAAAACATTATTTTGTTATTTTAGAACAAGTCTCTCCTACGTCACTCACTGTGACTTTATGTGAAAAACTCAGAAAAACCCGGATTTTTCATTTTTTCAAAAGATCTGCTAATTTTTAAAATCATTTTCTCACCGATAGGAAACAATGAAAATGGAAGGGGAAGCAACCACTCTGAAGAGAAATCTAACAGAATGGAGGTTCAGTCAGTACCCGAAATACATTTTGCTGCCCATTGATGAGAATCATGATCAAATCAAGTCGAACATCAAGAATGTTGTGTTTTCCGAGGTAAACCTCATCACCTAAGTACTTAGCTGATGCTGCATCATCCTCACGCACATACTTAGGAACCAAGCATTCAACTCAGCTCTTCACTTATACTAAGTATGTTACTCTTTTATTTAGGTGACTCCTCGTCCCTTGGAGAGGAATATTCGTTTAGTGTGTTACTCGGAAGATGCTCTCAACTCTATCCTGGACATGGATCCCGAAATAACCACTCGAGAGGAGTTTACCGAGTTCATAGCTGGCCGCAAGTTGCCCTATGGAGCTTTGCCTGTGGCGCATCGGTAAACTTTCTCCACATTCTAAGAACAGCAGAATTGTACCTACCCCTTACTTACATAGGTACAAGTCCAAGATGGACTGCAGACCGCAAACTGCGAGCCACCTGTTTCTATGAAGTCCAAGAAATGCGGTAAACCGCAGCCGCTAGCCGCAGTGTCGCCTGCGGTAGCAGTCTGCAGCCATCTTGGACATACCTTCAGGAAAAGGTTGTAGGTACTAAGTTGTTTCAAGTATGGTTTCAGGTATGGTGGTCACCAGTATGGCTTGTGGGTAGGTCAACTCGGTGACGGTAGAGCTCATATTCTTGGAGAGTATGTGAACAGGTAATTCAGTATCTTTATGAATTTTCTACCGCTTCATGCTCCCAAGTATTTACTTACTGAAGCAATTTGTACGTAGACATGGCGACAGATGGCAGATCCAGCTGAAAGGTTCAGGGCAGACACCCTACGCGAGGGTGCACGACGGCCGCGCTGTGCTCCGCTCTATGATCAGAGCCATGATAGCAGCTGAAGCCTGCCACTTTCTGGGGATACCCACCACGAGGGCTGCTGGACTTGTTGGTTAGACAGTAGACTACATCACGATCCAGCTAACTGCGCACCTCACCAAAATGCGACTCTTCCTCCTATTTACCCGCACACCTCCCCGCGTTCGCCCTAACCGTACCAGAGCGTCGATGTGACGTCACAGCCGCTCGGTGCGCAGTTAACTCGAAACATGTTGTACACAAATACTTATATCTCGTTAACTTTTTTATTCAATAGTTTTTTAATGTATTGTGTAACAGAATGATACAAATATTTTGACCTTGACATGTTGTGAACCGACTGCCATGTTGATAATATTGCGCCATTTCACGTAACTCGGTTGATGAACATAATATTATTGGTAAATTAAGTCAAGGGCGGTTAAATGTTCGCTGGCCGGCTACTATTAATCGTAATGTAGCTGTATAACTTTTGCTTAAGTAAGTAAGTAAGTTTAACTAAAAATGCGGTTTTTTAGTGAGCGACGAGACGGTAGTCAGAGACGTTTTCTACACCGGCAACCCTCGAAGAGAGAGGGCTGCTGTTCTTCTCCGCCTATCACCGTCATGGTTCCGCTTCGGGTCCCTGGAGATACTGTCCAAAACTGGGGAAGTTGCCGTGTTGAGACAACTCTCGGATTTCATCATCAAAGTGAGATGCAGGATTTTTACAACCCGATCAAACTCTAACTGCGCACCTCGCTGGAATGCGAGCGTACCAGAGCGTCGATGTGACGTCACGACTGCCAGTTGCGCAGTTACCTCGACCGGGTTGTAAGATGTGTTCAAATGAGTTAGTTTAGAAGAGCAGATGAACGATTGGTTGTTTCATTTCAGGAGTACTTCCCTGATATCCACTTGACTGATGAGAATCGCTTCATCAGATTGTTTTCTGAAATAGCTCATCGAACTTTGGACCTTGTGGCAAAATGGCAAGGTATCTATTAGCATCAAATTCCTTGATCACCTTCTGAAAGTTAAGATATACGTAAGATTATGCTGTTTTCAGGTTTCGGCTTTACCCACGGTCTTTTGAATACGGATAACATGAGCCTTCTAGGTCTTACTTTGGATTATGGGCCATTTGGGTTTGTGGACTCGTACGACGGGGGCTTTGTGGCCAACTGTTCCGATGGAGAAGGGCGGTATGCTTTGGCCAAACAACCTGATGTAAGTTTTACTCCTTGACATAGCCAGAGACTGCTCCTAAACGCCAACTCATTAAGATTTTAATGCTGTTTATTTAGGTGGTGGTTTGGAATATCGGGCAGCTAGCAAATGCTTTGAAACCTCTCCTTACATCATCTCAACAAGTCCACATGTCGCACATCCTAAAGACTTTGGATACCTATTGCAAGAATAAGATCTTGTAAGCTATTGGACTAAACTCAACTTGCCTTGCATCATCAGAATCCATGATGACAATTTATCATCTACATAAGATTTTTCCCGTTTTAGGGAGACTTTTTTGATGAAGATCGGCTTGAAGGAAGAGCGATGGGGTGATGAGCAGCTAGTGGAGAAGCTTCTGGACATGATGCAGCAGACTGGAGCTGATTTCACTTGCACGTTCAGACAGCTTGCTGAAGTACTTACCTTAGTCTTGTCTAAGATTATTGTCATAGGCCTCCCCAATGTTTTCCGTGTCTTTTTTTTAATATAGTCATAAATAATAATACTTTTTATATGATTGTCAGTTGGAACCCTGTGAAATGGTGAGCGAAGTGAAGCTTGACGAGAAGTGGTCTCTGAAGCGACTGTCCTCGCACGCGTCGTGGGGCTGCTGGCTGGACCAGTACCGCGAGAGGTTGGATAAAGAAGCCGGTAATTTCAAATTATGTAAGATATTTCTAAACGGCTACGGATTTTGGTACTACCCGGTCAAGTTAGCTGCGTTGCGTACCTGGCTGGAATGTGACTCTCCCTCACACTCATCCGTTCACCTCCCCGCGTTTGCCCCGTCGTCCATGGATACCAACCAGCAGGGTTAAGTTGCGCACCTTAATAAACTGCTATCGCGGCGTTAATTTTGTCGATTTTGACGTCACTATGTCGTTTTATTTACGGTAACAACATGGCACCCCGAAAATTATCATGGTGTCGTCGATGTGACGTCATGGCAGCCAGGTGCGCAGTTAACTTGACCGAGTTGCAATTGTTTTAAGTTCGCTTCTGTTGCTATTTTAGTTTTCTTGCAGTTTTTAAGAGTAAAATTTATTTATGCCTTTTGTCGCTTAGTGGACGCAAGTTCAGCAGGCCTGTTTGAAGACGAACGTCGCCGTCGAATGCTGAGTGTGAATCCGGTATACATTCCCCGGAACTGGCTGCTTCAGGAAGCTATCGTCGACGCCGAAAGAGATGACTATCAAAAAGTTTGTGCCATCATCATCATCATTTCAGCCACAGGACGTCCACTGCTGAACATAGGCCTCCACCAATGATTTCCATACTGGCCTGCATCCATCGCCTTCCTGCTACCTTTATGAGGTCGTCGGTCCACCTTGTGGGTTTCCGGTACGTGAGCTTTACCTACTCCAGAACCTTGCTGCCCTATTACTTAGCCGTGAGCGTACTAAGTATGTGCCCTGCCCATTGCCACTTCAGCTTGTTAATCCATTGGGCTATGTCAGTCATTTAGTTCATTTTTGTGCCAAGGTTACAGTTCCTTAAATTCTTATTCTTTTTAGGTTCGTTTTCTTCTCGATGTTCTACGTCACCCTTATGAAGTGCAACCAGAAGCTGAGAGACGTGGTTTCTCTGCGCAACCACCCCAGTGGGCGTACGCCTTAAAAATTAGTTGTTCAACTTAATTTTAACTGTAATAAATGCTTTGGCTATTTATTTTTTCGTGTTTCATTGCAATGCGAGTAATGTCATGTATTAAATGAACGGATTTAACTCCGTTTCTGTATTCTTTGGCATTTGCTTCTCAAACTGCCCGCGCTTTATTCGGACCGGAACTGGATCAAATACTGTCAATGAGACAGTGACAGCAAGTGACAGCCACAGGTGACAGCAATCACATCAACAACAAACGTCTTGTTCTAATAGTTCTAGGGATGTTCGAGTCGGGTACCTTGTGAATATTGAATATTCAGGAATCGCAATGGTCCGATTGTAAATAAGGCCCTCGATTGCGCTAATTTCTAATGTTTCCGATTCATTTTCGTTTTATCTCCAGTCTACACTCCAGTCATGCTCCATTTTCATTCCAGCTGATGAGCAATTCGGTATCGGTAAGTTCACGCGCAAACAAAGGATTATGCACTTTTCATAAAAAAAAATCAAAAGTCCGAATACCAAATTTTTTAAACTAAAATTACTAAAACACAGCAAATGTTCCTGAAACGTTTGACTTGCGCTTGAGTAAAATTAGCATTCTGCCAGCTTCGTAGATAGAGGATAGAGTATAGATAAGCTACTAATTAAAAAAAAAAATAGAGTGAGAAAGCTTATATGTCAGATAAATATGGGAGAGCAGGACAAAACATTTTTTTCTGTCTCCGCTTGCGTATCGGTTTTTTATGTTTGCCACCATTTGCTTTGGTGGCAGACAATTGCGTGGTGTTTTGATGTTTTTCATCAATTTATAGTGATTTCATGTCAAATAAAACAATCAGAACATTGTTCTACACAGTATTTTGTGTGATTTCGTTTGCAGTAATGGTGAATTGTTGTATAATTGGTTGTAAAAGCCGTAGTGAACGAAAAGAACCAAACATAACCTTTCATCGGTAAGTAGCATTTTTTCGCTATTATATGGTAACTGAAGGTAATAAACATTAAGAAAACGATTGTTTGATGTTACCGAAATGTAAGTTTTCTCGTAATTATGTTAAAAATTTGATTATTCTAAACCTATAAATTGGGTATTAACCGACTGGAGTGAAAGTCATCATGTGCCAGAAGATTCATTATGATAATACATGTAATCTGTCATTAGTCGGGTTATAAGCCGCTGGGGATACCAGCAGGCCTAGTCAATATTCCCTCATGTATTTTTGTTTTTAGATTCCCGAATGAACCAAGTTTAAGAAATAAATGGACGGAGTGTACGGGCCGAGTACATTGGCATCCAAGTCAACATTCTCGAATATGTTCCAGACATTTTGAATCCAGATGCTAAAGTATCTGAAAGTTCGAATACATCATGCAGCTAAAAAGCTTTCAGAAAAGTCTGATATCGTCAGGAATTTTTAAAACAAATTAATTTTGTTTAAGGGTCAGTGATACTGATTAAAGTATTATATTAAAGTGGTTTTTTATTTAAATCCTCAAAAACTCAGTTTAACCTCTTAAATATAGAAAAAAGCTTGCACGCACACGCCATCAATCAAGTCCATCCAGTTGTTTAAGCGTAAAAAGGTAAACATACATACACACAAACTTTCACTTCACCTTTATAGTAATACTTACTAGATTTTGCGCCTCAGTTTCACCCGCAGCTTACCTATTTACCCCTAAAATCAGGGTAATTTTTAACGTAGCCAATACTAAGTCTATTGTTGTAGCTATAGATATGGTATGTACATATATTGCTATCTCACTCAGGTGTACGCTAATGACCCATCTACCTCTATTCTCTATCTACGGCCAGCTTTTACTTAAAGGCGCAGTAGCGCTTCGTTTATGTCACAGCTTGGTTTTAATGTGCACTTTGTCTTGACCCACTGATTTTCGTTCTTCGTCCAGTCGCTTTGCACTTGAAAATTTTTAGGCGCCGGTCTTCCGTGCATGTGAATCGATCCACCTGAAACGAATGCTAATGTATGGATTCAAATATCGAGGGGATCATATCGTATATTCCACTATATCAATCCACATAAGAATCGGTTCGGGTATGGATTGGACATCCCTATCTATATCTCAATCCACATCTGTCATTCTTCTATTGATGTTTTTGTCATTTTGTATGTTGGTTGGTTCAGTTGGTTGTTCTTTGCTAATTATTTTGTTTACAAAAATAAATGCTGACTCACGGACTGACGCACAAATGTTTTGATACCTAGTTGATAAATCTAAGCTCCTCATGAATCGGTCATTTTGCTTAGCCGCTGTCTTACTAGCTGAGCATCCACACATACCCATAATGGTGGGGAGTAATTTCCCAATTCTCAATCATCAGAAGCTAGTGAATTTTAAGGAATTCAGGTTTAAAGAATCTCCCGTGTATGCCGAACTGCCGATAGACGAAAATCCAGTCTACAATGAGCCTGTGGCTGTGAAAAATGCAGTCTTTTCCAAGGTATGTTGTAGGCTAAGGTTGTAGGTACATTTTTGTAGGTAATCAATTTTCAAGACTTTTTCTGCATCTTTTTTCCATACAATCAGTGTGTGATTTAATGTGAATCTCACCAGTAGAGAGTCTAGAACTCATGAGTTCTGAATTAATGAACAAATTGGTATTCTACAGCACATCACAACTATTATGATTAAATTATGAATGTTGTAGCTAAATTGACGCACAGAATACAGCAATGAAAATGTAAATAAAAAGGATTTTAGAAAAAAAACTTTTTAGGATTTTGTTAGGTAAGCAAATAACAAAACAATAACAGCCAACTTTCGCTGGATTATTTAAGTACCGAAAACCTGATAAATTGATGTTTTTAGGCTACTCATGATGTTTCTTTTGCACCAGAAATTGCATTGTTGTACTGGTTTTCCTTTTCTCTGCAAGTTACACACTTAATTTTTATTGGTTTTCCAAGATACAGGCTTGGCCTAGTTTGGGAACCTCTGTATATTTACTTTGTGTCCCTTTCTGTAATGCACTATTTATAGTTATATTTTTATTGTATTACTACCATTGTAAAAGTTTTGTGCAATAAAGAAATATCATTATTATATTATTATTATATTATAACTTGTCTGCAGGTGCCCACCGAACCTTTAACCGGGAAGCTTCACTTAGTGTGTGCGTCAGAGGACTGTCTCACCAACATCCTCGATCTGGACCCAGCCTGCGCAGAGACCGAGGAGTTCATCGACTTCATTGCTGGGAGGTATCTGCCTGATGGAGGACTGACTGTCTGTCACAGGTGACTAAAGTATTTTTTTTTTTTTTCCTTTATTCCATCATGCGATCAGTCAGAAGACTATGAACAGATTTGTTCTGTGATTATCGGCGATGAAAGCAGAATCCCCACTGGGACTCCCTCCATGGTCAATTCTGGCTCTCCATGATGTCCAGAATGTGCCGTCGCTTCAGTCGCCGCATAGCTTCTGGGATTGTGAGCTGCACAGACTAAAGTATTTAAAGCAACTTGCGAATATGTTTTTTAAATTTCAATTATGCAAAGCGAACATTTAAAAAATAATTACATAAGTATTTTATATTGGCAAAATCTAGTATAGAAATAATGTTTCACTTGAAGAAATCAATTGCCTCAGGTGAGACTTGAACCCATGATCTACTTCGCTTGCTGTGCGACATTTCTGACTAAACTTGTCAAAATTATATTTTTATTAAATTCTCGTGTATTGTGTTGTGACTATGACTAAAGATATATTTTTTAGTGAAAATACAAGTCCAGAATTCTTATAATTACAAACAAAATGTCTCAAATAAATAACTTAATCAAGGGATTTTTAATTATTTTAAATTTTCAATAAACTTTTCACATTAATTTAATTTTAATTTAATTTAATTTTAATTTTATTTATTTGGAAAACAAAACAGATTACATTCTTTACATGGTTTAAATAATACTTAAATGTAGATATAGACTAAAATGTAACCCTAAATATGTTTTCACAGATTTGTTATACATGCATTAGGTACAAAAATATATACAGGGTGTTGATTTCAATACCCGCCATATTTAGGGAGTAGATTAAGTAGCTTGTTCTGATCACGAATCAGCAAAAAAACTGACTTCCAAATTTTTTATTATTATTTTTTAAATATCTACGATTTCCATAATCGACCACTACANTATCTACGTACTGAACCAAGCAACTGTTTTTTACTTTCAGTAGGTTCACTAAGTATTTAATTATGCACTAATAAAATATGTACAAGCTATCATAGAGAAGAAGCCAAATTAACCCAATTTGCCAAAAAAACGAAACACTACAAATTACCGAAATAGTAGCAATTAGCGACATCTAGTTAACGCTTCCAGATTTACCCTAACACTTTTTTCATAAAAAGTCCATTCATTCCAAGAAATAAATTAAAATTATTTTACCCCGGAAGCTCGTTATTTATTTTGAATTTAATACTAAAAAGTAACAATTTATCTGCCTGTAATTTAATATTAACGTACCTACCTTACATGCTAAAATATTTTTAGCATTCTGCTACATCCCTATTACGTCAAAATCTGCGAAAAACTTAAAATTAATACAACCAAGTTCAAGAGTCTTGCGATTTCTCTTGTTTCGCATAAAACAAAGGTCAATTAATTTTGTAGGATTACATTATAGCCGGGCGGTTGAGATGATCATGAACGCTGTGCGTGGTTAAACTAAAATAGATTTTGTAACATTTTTACGTATCGTGACGTGTTATCAAGGCAGACGAACTTCACACAATCGCTACTTATTTAAAATTTCCAGTTTTTATAGAAAAAAGTATTGTGTTGTGACGAAAAATACTGTAATGTTTAAATCGTTGTTAGGATCTCTGATTACTCAGGCCAGCTGTCAAGAGGTGGGTAAGTTTAGTTTTAACTTTATTGCTAAGGTTTACGTGCTAAAACCTTTTTGCGAAAATAATGAAAAATAGTGTTAAACATTGATGTAACATATTTTGTGATTTTAGCGTTTTAGTGCCCTTGAAGAGTCCGCCCTTGAACTGCAATCAAACGTCACAATGCGGCCTTCTATCCTAATATTTGCATAACAACAACACCTGTTATCTAATAGCTAGTGTCAAGCCTTATCATTAAACTCCTACTTTCATTGACAATTGCACGAAAAAAAAAACAAATGAACAAAACTTTTGGGATAGAATAGCAATCTAACCTCCTTGACCTTTATTAAGATAGAAACAAAATGTCAAATTTAAATATTTTTTATTTTTAAAACACATTTGTAACTTGTAAAACTCACCAGTATTTTTTCTTGTTTTTACAAAATAGAATAAATTAACTGTGAATGATTGATATGTCAGTCTTGTAACAGCAGCGCTGCAATAATATTCCCAAAGATAGCATGTTCAGTGAGTACACAAGATAAAATTGCCTTTATCAGTTACGTCAACTATTCCAATGGCCATCAATTCAGTTCAAATTGTGTCACAGCGACAATATGACTTCGCGTCGGGTAATTTCCTTTACATTATTATTAAATCTACAGATAGTTGAGTAAAAGTTGTTTGTTAGTGTTAATAAGTGCAATTGAAATAATGTCTAGTTTCCAGTGACATGTTAAATTACATCTTTAATTCAGTGACTAGAGTTCGAAATGGCTTGTTCTTTTACATCATAATTTACAGCGTTATTATCACTCAAATGTTAAGTGTCTCCCTAATTGTCACAATAGTATTGATTTCATAAGTATAATTTCTTATAATGTGGTAAGTTCTAGATTGTAAATTGTTATTGGGTTTTTCACCTTATTTTATTACACTATCATGTTATAATGGGTCAGTAACGATTTTTCTTATAAGACTATTCCGTAAATAAAGGTTTTCTATCTTATCTATGAATGTGACTTACATAACCTATTAGAAGAGTATTGTTTGACCCACACAATTGAATGTCAGATAAGTTATCACGGACGCCATCGTATTAGGTTAATGTACCGTGACTTTCAAGTCTCTGTTAGTAAAGATGCAATTGAATTGAGCCAATTTATAGAGATGTATTCAAATAACTGACAATAAATATCATGAGAGTACCTAAACTATGTTTTAAAATATAAAAAAAAGGTTTAAAGATGTTTTCCCAATGTTCATCATACTATTTACTCATGTCTTGCTAAATAATAATTAAAATTTTAAATGCAGTCATGAGCTACGTGACAAAAAATGTTTACTCATGTATTACAAGATAAATATTTTTCCTGCACGGTACGCTTAGTAACATTTCTGCATAATTGTTATTCGGAATTCAGGTATAATTTTACAGAACGCTACTCTAAAGCTAACATACCTATTTAAGCAAAGATTCTATATTTATTCCAATAAGATAACAATCTTAAAAATGTTAATTCCTCTATGTAATAATATGTATCAACTAATCCAGTAGAATAAAATCATAATCTATGAAAAACTGTATTGCATAGTTATTCTATAGAATGAACAAACCAGGCATAAAATTAAACCACCTATTGTTAAATTGTTGTTTGTGAAATTATGTTGATTACAAATAATAGTCAGCTCAAGGTTGTCATTACGCTACCTTAATTATTGTATTATTCCTTTGATACTTAATGCATTTGTTGCCCACAGGGGGCTGGTTATTTAAAAAGAGCCGATACAGAGAAGTTACATGAAATATTTCTGCAATACGCCACCGTTGAGAAGAATGGTGAGAAGCACATCACTAGCGAAGACTTTGTGAGGAAGTATCTAGGATTATTCGACGAAGGTGAGTTATCGTATTTACATGATCTTATCATAGTATTGTAGATAAAATAAATAGATAAGCCCATGGTAGTAAACAAATTAATGATGTAACGTTTTTTTGATAAGTTATGGTATATTATAATGGCTAGACGTCACTTTGCTACGTAAATCACACATTGTTTGCATGAAAGTAAATAGGTAATCTGATTATTTTCTTATTCGGAGTGAAACTTGGCTACCTTATTATTATTTTTTGTTATCCATTTTATACAAATTTATACAAAATGTCACTATCTCAATAGGATATACCATAACAAGTTGTTCTTTTGTTTAAATAATAAACCTAATAAAGTAGGTACTATGGGCCACAGTTCTAGCTACCCATTTCCGGTCATATTGTCTCGTTCTATCGCAAAGAAACATTATTGATAAGAGCGAGAGAAATAACGGAAATGGGTAGCTGGAACTGTGGCCCATTGTATATGTTATTCATAACAATACATAAAAACCACTAGGCAACAAATAAAAACTACAAAAAAAGAAAATCTACTAAAAAGGCTTACATCAAATAATAAAAACAAAAGACGGCAATATCAAACTAGATTTTTACGTAATCAAATTTTGAACTTAAAAAACTAAAAAAGTGGTAAAATTAACTAAGCACAGAGGTTACAGTTGGATGCGGATGAATGTCCAAGTTTGGACAATAAGCCTAGGCGCAGACCACCGATTTTTAGTTGGCGATCGATCGGGCTGTTAATCTGTATGGTGATTTGTTATCGGCCGATTCTTCATACAAATAAGAATCGGGCCCAACTATCGGCCAATGAAAATTCGGTGATCAGCGCCTAGGCTAACTCGCGCCTCCATTTATGGCTTTACTGGGTAAGCCCCGCCCTTCTGGTAGGGAGAGTCCCACATAACCCTCTAGCCGTCCCCATCGGCAAACCATTTCCCGACGGAAAAAAATAGGATAACTTTTTTTTCAGATGACTACAACAAGGAATCAGTCAAGCTCATCGCGGGCATCGTGGACATGGACAAAGACGGGTTCATCTCGTTCTCCGAGTTCCAGGCCTTCGAGGGGCTGCTGTGTGTCCCCGACGCGTTGTACAAGACCGCCTTCCAGCTGTTCGATACCAACGGCAATGGACTGGTGGCTTTCGGTGAGATTATACTGGCATTCAGTCCGCCACTGTACAGTTGTATGTGCAAAAGTGTAAATAAATAAATATACTTATACTAATACTAGCGACCGCCCGCGACTTCGTACGTGTGGACCCCGTTCTACCCCCTTTGGGGGGACATTAATAAAATCCGTTCTTAGCGGATGTCTCCACCCTATAGGAAACCTACCTGCCAAATTTCAAGTTTGTGGGTGTTATGATGTCTGAGATTTCGTGATTAATCAGTGAGCGGTATTTTGCTTTTAATAGTATAATAAGTTGGAGAGTTTGTTTGTCAACCAAACAATCTAATCTCAGAAACTACTGGTCCGATTTTAAATAATATTTTTGTGCGGATAGCCCATGCTTTATGAAGAATGACTTGCGCGTTATTCAAAAATATTAATCTTCTAGCTTTCGATTTTAGAAATGTACACGAAAGGCAAATAACCTTGGTAGTTGCTATTTCGATAAATTTAGAAATTATTTAGTCTTGTAACTAAGTTATCTATTTTTAGAGATCGATTTTTTGCTCGCGTACTAAACGATAATATTTCAAGTTATCATACATCAATGTACTTTAAGATTGCGATAGGGGGATATTTTTCTTTATCTCGACCTACTAAAGACAAAAAATTACCCTAACAACAGGAAAATAGTCCAAATTATCATTAACTAGCATTTAATGAGAAAAAAATTGAACAGCTCTAACTTCATATGGAACCTAATTGTATTTCATTCTATAGAATAAAATAGTACCTATCAGTTATCCAGCCAGGTTATTTTTTAACTTCCTCTAGCTAGATATTTTATTAAATCATAAACGCAAAAGTTTGTCTATCAATATAAAAACGGTCAAACAATCTAGTTTCCTTAATTTAAAATATCCAAATCGGTATAAAATCTCTGAAACTTTCTGATTTTCTTGATTACAAATCCAAAGAAACTCCTAATATATCCGTATTTAATTACAGACGAATTCGCCGAGGTCATGCGCAAGACAGTTCTCCACAAGAAACTGCCTTTCAACATGGAGAGCACCTTCGTGCGTCTCTACTTCGGCAAAGACAAGAAGCGTCTAGTCACATACCAGGAGTTCAGCCAGTTCCTCCACGATTTCCACGAGGAGTACGGAGTGGAAGCCTTCAAGAAGTGCGACAAGGATGGCAGTGGTTTCATCAGCGCTGGGGACTTTAGGGATATAATGCTGAATGTCAAAAGCCACTTGCTGACCAAGGATTTGAAGACGAAAGTGATCAATGTGAGTTCTTATTTTTCTAAACTGCGCCGTCTCATCATCATCATTTCAGCCACAGGACGTCCACTGCTGAACATAGGCCTCCCCCAATGATTTCCACAATGGCTGGTTGGTGGCGGTCTGTATCCAGCGCCTTCCTGCTACCTTTATGAGGTCGTCGGTCCACCTCGTGAGTGGACGTCCTACGCTGCGCTTTCCAGTACGCCGTCTAGTCCCGAACTAAGCAAAGCCTGTACTATGGGTACCAGACTATGGACATAAACATATTTAAATACTCAAACTAGTTACGATAATCTACAGGTTGTATACCTCCCCAAAGTGGGGGTTTTTGAAGGCCAAATGATTACGAAGTAAATCAAAGAGGGTCGTGCGTGCGTTCGGTGGATAAATGATCTGATGGTTATGATAATAATTAATAACAGGTTGTAGAACCTCAATCGAGGGTCGCACTCTCTGGTCAGACTAGAGCTACAATTTCCCTTAAAATTGTGTAAAATCTCTTTTTCTTATCAGAATGTTGTAATAATCTGAAAGGATGATGGGCAGAAATGTATGGAAAGTGGTACCCGCTCCAATAGCCATAACCAATATATATTTCAAAAGGCCTTTAGATATAGGAAAATGTCTGCTATGGGGCCAGTTCTAATTCACGTTTTGAAAGCAGTAATTCCACTAAGTATTAATAAATGAAAGTATAACACAATCATCCATGTATACGAATATGTACTATGACTACAATCTATTAATATAACTAAAAGAAGCCTTGAAAACGAAAGGATTATACCTACGATGAACTACCCAAGCTATTAGCCCTTTATTCGGTTTCATCATCATCATCATGATCATTTTAGCCATAAGACGTCCAATTGAACATAGGCCTACCCCAATGATTTCCACAATGGCCTGTTGGTGGCGGTCTGCATACAGCGCCTTCCCGCTACATTTATAAGATCGTCGGTCCATCTTGTGGGTGGACTTATTGGGTCTTGTGGGTTTATTCGCTTTAGCAACCCATAATAAAACCCTTAAGAAATATTAAACTCCAACCTCTTTATTAATAGTTGAACTCTGACTTAAATTGTCATTTGCTATGGAAATGTCATTTTAATCCAAGGTTCATCCCAGGTATAACATTTTTTTAAATAAGGGGATAGTAGTTCTTCAAATAAAAACATTTATTTCACAATTATCTCTATCAATATAGAGTTAAAGAAGGATGCTGGAGCTTACTGCTCCATGCCTCGCATAACCTAAGTAGGTACCATACGATGGACACGTATGATACTTCGGTAATCGGTTACACAAAAAGTATGTTTATCTTCGAACGCAACCAGATCTGAGGCTGGTGGCCATAGTAAATGTTGTTCGTCTTGTTAAGACCTTTCAAATGACACTACAAACATAACTATTGGAGCCGGGTACCATTTTGCAAAAAAGTATGTTTATCTTCAAACACAACCAGATCTTAGGCTGGTGGCCATAGTAAAAGTTGTTCGTCTTGGTAAGACCTTTCAAACGACACTAGAAAGATATCTATTGGAGCCGGGTACCATTTTGCCCATTGTCCTTTGAGTAGCAACAGACACCTGTACCTCTAGTACGAAAAACTTTCGAGTTCGTTTCGTTGCGTATTCAAAGTGTCATCGAAAAATTTTGTATGAAAAATTAAACAGCGCCCCCTAGGGCGGCTATAATATAGGGGGCGCTGTTTAATTTTTCATACAAAATTTTTCGATGACACTTTGAATACGCAACGAAACGAACTCGAAAGTTTTTCGTACTAGAGGTACTGATTCGTTATCACATTTAGTATGAGCAAGTCGAAAACCAGTTGCAACTCAAATTGGGCCTGAGAACTAATCTATTAAATAATTAATCTCTAATCAGCGTTATCAATATCAAGCCACCGGGAAACCATTTCAATCTATGTGTGTTGGTTCTTACGTCAATCGGATCAGATAATCTGAAATACAGTCTAGACTCTAAAGTACTCAATCACTGAAAAAATCAGCGTAAAATTCCATTGATTTACAAATAACAATGCAAAAAAGTGTTTAAAGTTACGTCAGTAATACATTGACGTCAAAAAACACTAGCTCAAGATGTTTCCATATTACAAACAATCCATTGCATCATAAAATATTCTCTCGTAAACACTTTATTCACTCTACAATACACTGGCCTAATTTTTTACCGATAATGATAAATAATCGTTTCTATTCACAATAACATAAAACATGCGAAAATCACTCTACCAGCTACTTTTTCACGCTCAAACCATTGAAGCAATTTAGAGGTCTAAAATGGTTTGAGCGCCAAGAAAAAATACACAAAACGGGGTCACGCGTAAGTCTTCCTATGATAGACCTAAATTCACGCGAGTGTACCCGCGGGCAAAATCTAGTCGTCATCATCATCATCATTTCAGCCATAGAACGTCCACTGGTGAACATAAGCCTCCCCCAATGATTTCCATAATGTAATGTAATTCTAGTAACCAATAATATATTTATTTACTGAGGATAATAATTCATAGTGTAATTCAAGTATCTTTCAATGACATCTGATAATATAATATTGGTAAACTTCAGTGTGTTACAAGTAATATAAGTTGTTAGTTATTATCTAAGACCTTCTCTGACCTTGATGTCTATCTGCATGCAGTTAATAATTATCTTATTAATATAAAATGTCTATGTAAAAATGTATTTTCTGGTAATTGGATAATATTAAAAAGGCGAAATGAATACTAAGAAAATGAAAATAATCTGCAACTTGAGAATTTTACAGTTATGTAGCGTATTTTTAGCTTGGAATGAATTCGATGTAGAGATAAACATACAGAATATCAAAACAATATATTTTTTAAATACCTAGTTGCCAACCTGCATGATAAGGGACTTATAAAGTTTTACAAAAAAAAAAACATAATAGCTAGTACCTCTGTGTGTGACAGATTTTTCCCTTCCAATCACATCCACGAAGACGCGCCCCACCATTTTTTGGTCGAGGGAAGCGCGGGGTGCGGGAGTTTGATCCGAGCAATCCGAGCGTCATTATTGTAGTGTGCGTGTGCACTCATAGATAATTTAGCGTGTACCGATAACACTCAAACATTAGCGCGAATGGTGGGGCGCGTCTTTGTGGATGAAACGATATATGTATATCGGGGCTTTCCCACTTAATTACAGGTATTTCGATTTCTATATGACCTTTAAGTGAATGCCTTTAAAGTCTACTTTCTCAAAACACCTAAATCCATTCCAGGCGTCAGGCTTCCCCCAAGGCGAGCGCAAGATCAGTTTCCCCTTCTACATGGCTTTTAACTCGCTCCTCAACAATATGGAACTGATCAAACGGGTGTACCTTAACGCTACCAACGGCCATCGAACGCAGGAGGTCACCAAGGAGGAGTTCCTGCACTCCGCACAGATGATGAGCCAGATCACACCGTTGGAGGTGGATATATTGTTCACTTTGTGCGACACTCTGCATCACACTAATGGGTGAGTTAGATATTATAATTATTATTACTGACGGGATTGCTATCATGCACCTTAATTTTGAGTTTCCGATATTTCGGCAATGTTGCATGCAAGCAGAGTAAATACAAATGAGTAGGTCATCTTCATAGAAACGCCCGAGCGCGGTTTGTATGTGAGCGCGCCAATACGTAGGCGCGCACGCACACACTGACAAAATTTAGCATGGATTAGCGGGGAGTTGCCCCGGCGCGCGCTCACATACAAACCGCGCTCGGTGCGTTTCTATGAAGATGACCTACTCATTTGTATTTACTCTGATGCAAGCGCCATGGTCACGGAGTAACTGAGGAAACTTGCGGGTGAGATGTTATGGGCAGACATATTGGTCTACCCTCTTTCGCAGTCTTTTATTACAATAGCCTCCCGTAGCACCGTTCACCAACTCACTGTTCTTGCAACTGTTCTCGACACTTACAGTATCTTATATTCTTATGGTAACAGTTACGACCTTATTTTAAACCTTAACGCCTTGTGTTAAGGTCTAAAAACAAAGAAATTAAACTTGCTACCTTTCAAACTTTTTTAATGTGAGACCACAAAGATTTCACTTGCATTACACGTTGCAAAATCCCAACCAAGTATTACAACGAAATTAAATGGAACGTAGGTACATTTGTTCGTTTAAATGTGAGTTAGGCGTTAAATAAATGTCATGATTTTTAACTAAAAATATCTATAGGCCACATGAAATTAGAATAGTTAGAAAGACCAACACAAACCAATTTTTATCTAAATGCCATTGGATAAAATGATATAAACGATCATACATTAGCTTAACTAAAGTAAAGATTGCTATGATAACTCTGTACTTGATATTTAAGCCCCTATTTACAGTATTTGCACTGGTAACAAGGTTAAATAAAGAATCGATTCCAATTTACCTATATTCGTTCAAAGCAAATGTCACTGAACTTATACCCTTCGAGTATTTAACAAAAGGGACAAGCATTTTATCGTTTTCGTTTACTACATGTTTTCAGATAATATTAGATATCGCGTTTATCTTTAATAAACTAGAATAAACTGGCTTAGTATCGTAAATGTTTTATAAAGTCCATCTTAGATTGCAAAAGTGTGACGGAAGCGTGGTTATAGCGTGATATTTACAGGTTTATTGCGAAAACAAGTGCTAGTCAATAAATTAGTAATCTATCTATACTAATATTATAATTGCGAAAGTAACTGTCTGTCTGTCTTGCTTTCACGCCTCAACCACTGAACCGAATTTTATGAAATTTGGCATAGAAATAGTTTTTATCCCGGTTTTTGAAACAGGGACAGGGCGATAAAGTTTTTCTTTGACAAACAAAATTCCACGCGGGCGAAGCCGCGGGAGAAAGCTAGAAATAAATAAACAAAAATATGACTCACTTTTATAACCTTGATCAGCAAAAAGACACACACTTTGGATTGAGAATATTCCGTCTTTTTTTGTCCACAAATGTATTATTTTGACACTGTTCCTCCACTGAATGTAACATTAATACTAAGTTTAAATGTTGTATTTGCTGGGTGACGACAGTTAACATTCGCTGATGTAAACTAAAATTGTTAGTTGTTGGCCTTTGACCGCGGTTATTGTCATTATTTTATGTCTCGGAGTTTTTTTAACCTTGACCGCGGTAACTGGCGCTATTTTTATATCTCAGATATACCTACTTACAAAGGGTAAATAGACCTTTTTAAGTTAAACTGGCTTGACCAAGATTTGGCATACCTAATTATGAACGCATAATTTAGTAAAATAAGGCTGAGTTGCACCACCAAACTTTGACCGTAACTATAACGATAACCGGTGATTTTTGTATGGAGTTTGACAGATTTTTGACGTTTGTTACAGTCAAAATAAGATGGTGCAACCCAGCCTAAGAATACTGCATATAATAATTTAACAAGGAAAAATAGGCCTTAAACTCTGTTAAACTGTGTGACGCTGGATCTAAAAATAAAGATATTGTGTTATCTATACTTTTTGAAATAAAATTGAAAAATCTGTTCTTCAATTTTGACCAAGATTTGGCACTTATGAACGCTTTATAAGATAACTGCATTATGATTACTTAATATAAAACGTAGTGTAATGCAGGTCTCCCACTCGTTAAACCAATGATCTATTAAGATCTCGGGTGGCCCCTATGGAATGGAAATACACTCGACAGCAAATAAATCGCACCACCCGTGACGCGAACTTTAAAGATTTTCTTTTGACACAATAATGGTGCCCCAACAATATTGGTGTAATTTGAAAGCCCAATAAATATCCTTAAAGAAAAACACATTTAATTTCTTAATAAATGATTAAAATATACCATAAATGTGACTTGAAAAAAGACCTCACTTTGGGCTCACCTCTGGGATTAATTAGACCAAATTTTATGGTTATAAAACCAAATAATGATCACACGTGTCCTCTTTAACAGATGGATAGCGATTAATCCCAACTTAACAGTTTTATTCATAAAAAAATTTAAAAAAATATTTTAGTCATAAAAAATGGCTATAGCGTAACTTTTGAAGAAGTGACTCTGGATCCTTTTAAAGACACATTTTTGGGGTAAAAACCTTTCCTTTAATAAAATGAAGTTTAGAACTAGGCTTTTAAATGTTGCCAATACTGGTGGGGAGTGGGGATGCATACGTTTGAAAATGCTTGTCGCGGGTGGTGCGATTTATTTGCTGTCGAGTGTATTTGTGGGGGGCCTTTGTCCAGCACCGAATGGCCTTTGGTTGATACTTTCATACAAAAATACGATAATTTTTTATTCCCTAGTTCTACTTCAGCAGTGCCGGGGGGGCCAGAGTATCAATCACGTCATACTGGGTTCGGTTAAGACAAGTGTGTTGCTATATATTGATATAGCAACACACTTGTCTTAACCGAAACGTATCTTAACGAAGTAAACGTATTGACGTTTGGCTCCCAGAATGATAGAGCGTTTCTCGGACCATTCATTGCGTTTGTACCGTTTTGAACTGGATGAACTTATTTGATCAAAATCATCTTTATTTCTTTAGACTAATTAAATTAGTACTTACAAATCGTCAAATGCTCTTAAAGAGCCTATACATTCAAATAATACGCACTGTTTTAAACAATGTCTTCTTTGTTGTTTTCATTAAGTACTTTTGAAGGTCATCCAATTCAAAATTCATAAGTAAAATTCACATCAGAATTAATTTAGACAACCCGTTATTTATTACACAAAAATGTTAATGAAATAGCATAATTTATGCATGAGCAGAACTCTGAATGAGCTTATTTTTCGAGTATTATCACGCTGATTAAACAGACGTCACATAAAACTGAATATATTTCGAGTACCTTACTCACACATCTTTGGAAGTATGCACAGTGCATGAAAACCCTTACAAATCAGGAAAAAATTTTAACATAATATTATTTTAATAGCGAAATAATGAGACTTATTATTTTATTTTTGAATTGTATTCAAATACCGTAATAACTTACACCTTAAATATATTCTTTTTTACGTTATAAAATAGGCTAAAAAATAGACGAATTATCACGGCCTTTCATTACAAATTTCCATTTACTGGATTGTGGAAATACTTTCTTGTTATTTATTTACGTTGATTTAGTAAATTAACTACTGATTTGTCTATTTTTCCAGACGCATTGTCTACAACGATCTCAACTCAATCACACCAGAGCAATACTTCAAACAAGTCACACGAAGAGTAGCAGAAATAAAGGCCGTCTCGGTAAGTATACACCTGTCTCTCTCCCACCCGCAGACCGCCCATAACGCTGTCCCGTTTTAACGCAAAACTTCTCGAAAATTCTTACAGGAGCCGGCACGGACGCGTTAGTTGAAATGTATGTTTAGTGTATATTAGTTTGTCGTTATGTGTAATATTTTGGAAACATCACTAACTTATAGCTCTGTATTTTCTCTCTTTCAATGCGCAAAAGGAGGAGGTAAATATGATAAGAGAGCCTTTTCGATTAGTTAACTTGTTGGAGCGCCTTATGGTGAGTACGGGTCACACGAGTTCATGATGTTTCTATGTTTACATTTTACATGAGAATGGTCGAATATTGCAGCGGTTGGCAATCAGTGGCCCGTGCTTAAACTTAGGGCTATAAAAAATGTAAACGTCGATAATATAAATATGATATGTATGTCACAAAACTATCATATCTTACGATTGCATTTAACTCGCGCGCTATATGAAACGTTCGACACACAGTATTTATGATGTTGTTCAATTATGTACAATTTATAATGCGAAGTTCATGTGTTCAAAATGAGTCAAAAATCATCATACAATCGAGTCGCTCGCTGTAGGTTTTTGCATCTTTATTAAAAAGTTAATGACTTGCCGTGAAAAATTAGGACTGTGTTCGTCTCTTACATTTAATTAAAAAAAGTATGCCCTTTTGCCCGAAAAGGTTGCCGACCGCTGCTATAGTATTCAAGTACTGACCATAAACTTTTAATCTTTCACAAACAACTCAAGGGCTGAATTTGAATCGCTGTCAAGTTTAGTTGCTATCTAATACAGTAAGAAAGAGACACTAATATTTTTGTCAAACAGCGTTATTTCACAGTTAGCCCCATTAGGCTTATTTAAGCTAGCTTGCTCCTCTTAACATTGTCTCAAAAAACTATAATTTCATGTTTAAATTAAATAAACTTACATTCATTAAAGCCCGGTCCGTGAGCACGTAGAATTTTGTCCAATGACCCCTAGCTACCCATCTTTATCGCTCGCGCGTAATTATATTGCTGTCGCGACTGTGCGACTGGCACCCACAGTGAGTGTGCGAGCACGACAGCTACCCATCCTTATCGCTCGCGCGTATTTATGTTGCTGTCGCGCTCGCACACTCACTGTGGGTGCCAGTCGCACAGTCGCGACAGCAATATAATTACGCGCGAGCGATAAAGATGGGTAGCTAGGGGTCATTGGACCAACTCGGATGGGCAGCGTTCGGGAAGCTTCGCCATATACTCATGTCCGAAATACCGCAGTGTCTCAAGACGAAAGTCTTCGAGCAGTGTGTGTTGCCAGTGTTGACATATGGATCCGAAACGTGGTCGCTTACTATGGGCCTCATAAGAAGGCTCAAGGTCACCCAAAGGGCGATGGAGCGGGCTATGCTCGGAGTTTCCCTGCGTGATCGAATCAGAAATGAGGAGATCCGTAGGAGAACCAAAGTAACCGACATAGCTCGCAGAATTGCTAAAATCAAGTGGCAGTGGGCGGGGCACATAGCTCGTAGAGACGATGGCCGTTGGGGCAGGAAAGTTCTCGAGTGGCGACCACGGGCTGGAAAACGTAGCGTGGGCAGGCCTCCTACTAGGTGGACCGACGATCTGGTAAAGGTCGCGGGAAGAGCCTGGATGCGGGCAGCGCAGGACCGTTCATTGTGGAAAACCTTGGGGGAGGCCTTTGTCCAGCAGTGGACGTCATTTGGCTGAAACGAACGAGAGCTAAATAGTGTTTAAAATCGATGTCATTTTCAAACAGTATCTTTATAATAAGTCGACTAAAATACAAAACTCATTTCTTCAACTTCTTTCACATTTAAATAACTAGCATGACGTCACATCACATTCCCTCTACAACCACAGGAATCTGCTTTAACTGTCACATATTCACACATCTTTTCTTCCTTCATAACTTCTCTAAAACTATACTTTTAGCTATCGTCTAGATAAAATAGATTAATTATGTCTTTTAATTCGCTAGCGCTATGTGTGCGTTTGTCACTGAGTAGGTACAGTCGCCAGCACATCAGCTAAAGTCCGGTCGCCGAGCAGATATAATTTCGTCCAATGACCCCAAGCTACCCATCCTTATCGCTCGCGCGTAATTATATTGCTATCGCGACTGTGCGTCGGGCGGCCGCAGTGAGTGTGCGAGCGCTACAGTAATATTATTAAGCGTGAGCGGTAAGGACGGTTAGCTTGGGGTTATTGGACGAAATTCTATCTGCTCGGTGACCGGACTTTACACATGTTTGTTGCAAAATCGCACATATTACAATAGGATAAGATGCAACTTGTGCCGTACGATGTGCCGTCGTCTGTCCCTGACGTACAGAGAAACCGTTACGCTTGTATCACACCGCGAAAATGACCTGTCTTTTTTATAGCTCGCGCAACGAAAGTTGAGGCGAATACATACACTAATGTAATATTTGAATACAGAACACACAAATCTGTCAGAATACGCATAACGTCAGCGCAACAAGCGTATACAAATACAAATGTATTGATCGTCTCAAATCTCGCTGCGTGACCTATGCGTTTGTTGATTTTCGGGGACTTATCCGTTGTACGCGAAACTTGTACTTGTGTATAAGCGAAACAAAAACAAGACTGCCTATTTTTAAAAGCAACCTTTCCATATCGTGATTCCGCCTCTGCTGTAAAGTTATAATATTAGCGAAACTGCAAACTATATCAAGCAGACCAGTAGGATGAGCGAAATTTTTAAGATTGAACTATTCCTCTGTACGTTATCTATTCAGTGATTGTTTTCTATGTATAGAATCAAAATCATGGACAATCATCAACACAGTTTTGGATATCAAACAATAGGACCTAACTAATATTAGGTATTTAATATTTATCCAATGTCGTTGATTGTCCACTAAATTATTTGGTCTTAAAGAATTAGATTTATATTTGCTTGTGCTTGTTCCAGAGTCCAGAGGAGCGCAGTGTTCTCATTCAAATTTTGGAGAGCACGTACAGATTCACGCTCGGTTCGATTGCCGGTGGTAAGTTGAAACTCATAAATACTTTAAGAACTTTCAAAAATGTATCATTGAAAGAGTCGAATAAACTGCGAATATAATTTACCACGATTAAGACATAAACCACCCGCTATAAAAATAAGTTTCGTCCTCATTACCTACCCTCAGTAACTACCCCTAGATGACAATATAATTCACGGAAAATTTCCTAAATCCTTAACTCCAAATTCATCATCATCATCATCATTTCAGCCATAGGACGTCCACTGCTGAACATAGGCCTCCCCCAATGCTTTCCATGTTGATCGATTGGTAGCGGCCTGCGTCCAGCGCTTCCCTGCTACCTTTACGATGTCGTCGGTCCACCTTGTAGGTGGACGTCCCACGCTGCGTTTTCCGGTACGCGGCCTCCATTCCAGAACCTTTCTGCCCCATCGGCCGTCAGTTCTGCGTACTATGTGCCCTGCCCATTGCCACTTCAGCTTGCTAATCCGTCGGGCTATGTCAGCGACTTTGGTTCGTTTACGTATCTCCTCATTTCTGATTCAATCTCGCAAAGAAACACCAAGCATAGCCCTCTCCATAGCACATTACAAGCTCCAAATTAATTTGGAGTTAATTTGTGCTAATATTTAAATTGTGCGGTTTACGAAATATTAGTTTATCACACTGGGTTTACTTTTCTGACAGGGAGAGCCCCATAGCTATTGGTCTCACCGGGTCTTACTTATCAATAAAATCTTTCTTCCAGCCGTGGGCGCATCGACAGTCTACCCCATAGATTTAGTAAAGACCCGTATGCAGAACCAGCGTACCGGCTCCTTCATCGGTGAGGTGGCGTACAGAAACTCCTGGGATTGCTTCAAGAAGGTCATCCGGCACGAGGGAATATTTGGCCTTTATAGAGGACTTGTCCCTCAGTTGATCGGTGTAGCTCCCGAAAAAGCCATCAAACTTACTGTGAGTAGTTTTGAATCAACATAAATCATCATATCAGGTCAGGTTCGCATGTTTCTCCCTCACTTGGATGTGAAGAAAAAATATAGTAAATTATTTTGACTGACTTGTATTTTACTTTTCAGGTCAATGACTTAGTTCGAGACAAGTTTATGGACAAAAAGGGAAATATTTCCATATACGCTGAAATCATCGCTGGAGGTTGTGTAAGTAGTCACTCGATTTGATATTATTATTTCCCGAAGCCCTTCACAAATACCTGTAAGTTTAAGCTTCCATTTTATGCACAACTTATATCGCTAAACGCTGTTGGTTTAATGAATAAAAGTCCTTGATAAATATTTTCCTTTGTTTAAAAAGAGTGATCCGTCGCCGTACTGGCGATATGACTTGAAATTAATGAATAAAGTCCGGTCGCCGAGCAGATAGAATTTCGACCAATGACCCCAAGCTACCCATCCTTATCGCTCGCGCGTAATTATATTGCTGTCGCGACTGCGACGGGTAGTGAGTGTGCGAGCGCGACAGCAATAATTTTATTTATTTATTTATTTTCCACACTTATAACTATCATTACAGGTTGACGCCTAATGCGATAGTATAACATACTTTGTTAAATAATGCTTAATCTAAACTTATATCTATAACCATATTCTAATAATCTTAACAATAACAAATCACGTATAGAGCAGCTATTGTGAACTCATTCAGAGAAATCATCAATAAAAAGATAGAAAAAAAAGAAAGACTCATTAATAAAAAGTGGTGACTGAGTTTGTTCCGGCGTTTCTTCTCAGCACTTGCCATATGTTTGTCTCGAAGCGCTGGTAGGGCCCAAAACATAAGGAGAAGGAGACATGTAAAGTGCCCCATAAGGGCTACCTTTTCTTTTTTTATTATTTTCTATTGACGTTCATAAGTGCCACTTGTGGTCTAAACTGAATAAATATTTTTGATTTTGATTTTAATGTAAGTCATAAATCTTATTTGGCACATGATACAATACAAAATCACTTTATATCTTTCCTCCAGGCCGGCGGTTCCCAAGTAGTGTTCACGAACCCACTGGAAATAGTCAAGATCCGCCTTCAAGTGGCGGGCGAGATAGCGGGCGGGCAGAAGGTGCGCGCGTGGTCCGTGGTCAAGGACCTGGGCCTGTTCGGGCTCTACAAGGGGGCGAAGGCCTGCCTGCTGCGCGACGTGCCCTTCAGCGCCATCTACTTCCCGGCGTACGCGCATGTCAAGGTATACATTGGCAGTGCAGACAACTGCGCGTCACTACTCTCGCGCGTCACTAGACACTCGCGCGTCACTAGACACTCGCGCGTCACTAGACACTCGCGCGTCACTAGACACTCGCGCGTCACTAGACACTCGCGCGTCACTAGACACTCGCGCGTCACTAGACACTCGCGCGTCACTAGACACTCGCGCGTCACTAGACACTCGCGCGTCACTAGACACTCGCACGTCACTAGACACTCGCGCGTCACTAGACACTCGCATGTCATTACTACTTACTAAAGCCTGGTCCGTGAGCACGTAGAATTTTGTCCAATGACCCCAAGCTACCCATCCTTATCGCTCGCGCGTAATTATATTGCTGTCGCGACTGTGCGACGGGCGCCCGCAGTGAGTGTGCGAGCTGCAGAGAGACAAAATTCTACGTGCTCCCGGACCAGGCTTTAGTAAGTAGTAATGACATGCGAGTGTCTAGTGACGTGGCGAATGTCTAGTGACGTGCGAGTGTCTAGTGGGAATATCTACTTTATCAATGGAACCACACGACTAACATACACTAAACGCAGACTGGCGGCAGTTGGTGCCATAAAACAAAGATCATCATCATCATCATTTCAGCCATAGGACGTCCACTGCTGAACATAGGCCTCCCCCAATGCTTTCCACGTTGATCGATTGGTAGCGGCCTGCGCGTCCAGCGCTTCTCTGATACCTTTACGATGTCGTCGGTTTACCTTGTAGGTGGACGTCTCACGCTGCGTTTTCCGGTACGCGGCCTCCATTCCAGAACCTTGCTGCCCCATCGGCCATCAGTCCTGCGTACTATGTGCCCTGCCCATTGCCACTTCAGCTTGCTAATCCGTCGGGCTATGTCAGCGACTTTAGTTCGTTCGTTCGTTACTGGATAAATACACTCGGCATCAAATAAATCGCACCTCCCGCGACAAGCACTTATCAAACGTATGCATCCCCACTTCCCACCAACGTTGGTACCATTTGAAAGCCTAGTTCTAAACTTCATTTCATTAAAGGAAAGGTTTTTACCCCAAAAATGTGTCTTTACAAGGATCCAGAGTCACTTCTTCAAAAAATAGGTAGTTACGCTATAGCCATTTTTTATGACTATAAAACTGTTAAGTTGGGATTAATCGCTATCCATCTGTTAAAGAGGACACGTGAGATCTTTATTTGGTTTTATAACCATAAAAATTGGTCTAATTGATCCCAGAGGTGAGCCCAAAGTGAGGTCTATTTTCAAGTCACATTTATGGTATATGTTAATCATTTATTTAGAAATGAAATGTATTTTTCTTTAAGGATATTTATTGGGCTTTCAAATAACACCAATATTGTTGGGGTACCATAATTGTGTCAGAAGAAAATCTTTAAAGGTCGCGTCGCGGAAGGTACGGTTTATTTGATGTTGAGTGTATTAGCTCTAATTTCGTGAATGTTTTACCATCCTCCTCTATTTCAGGCCAAATTCGCGGACGAAAACGGCTACAACCACCCGCTGACGCTGTTAGCGGCCGGAGCCATCGCCGGCATCCCCGCCGCCTCGCTCGTCACCCCCGCTGACGTCATCAAGACCCGGCTACAAGTAAATTAATGAACCATTAGTATAGTCTGGTCCGTGAGCACGTAGAATTTTGTCCGATGACCCCAAGCTACCCATCCTTATCGCTCGCGCGTAATTATGTTGCTGTTGCGCTCGCACACTCACTGCGGGCGCCCGTCGCACAGTCGCGACAGCAATATTATTACGCGCGAGCGATAAGGATTGGTAGCTTGCGGTCATTGGACAAAATTCTACGTGCTCACGGACCGGGCTTTAGATATCTACAGGGTGTCCCAGAATGGATGAATCAAACTGATAGGGGAGGTAGCTCTACTAAGTCACTAAAAATATGAAAAAAAAAAACATTGAGTTCAGATTTTTTTAAATAATGTGCTCTAAACTCGAAATCTAGTCATTATTTTCAAAAGTTTGTTTACAGATAAACGAAGCGATCATGTACAATAGTAAGAAAAAAGTACAAATAACCTCCAAATGCAGCAACTTAGGCAAAGTTAATTTATAATCACTTTTTCTCAAAAATATATTATGTGTCCTTATGCGCTTTATTATTTTTTAGGGATAGTACATTAGTAGAGCTACCTCCCCTATCAGTATGTTTCACCCGTTCCCCAAAGAAGCAATAAAAAATTTAGTATTGTTTTATCATTTCCCTATACATCTGTTTAAAATGTCTGTTTGGAAGTTATTTCATTCTAAAAAGTTAAAAACACTTCTTGAGCTTCATATTGACCAAGCCACTGGGCCCAAACTTACGATTGAAACCACAAAGAAATAAAATTTAATTATTTATTTTCTTCCACTCTTCAGGTAGTAGCGAGATCTGGGCAGACGACGTATAACGGCGTAATAGACGCGACTAGGAAAATCTACGCCGAAGAAGGAGCTAGAGCTTTCTGGAAGGGAGCTATGGGTAAATACCTTATTTTTATTCATTTATTTCTAGAAACCAACAGCGATAATATTGAATATGTTAGTCATAAGATTTAGATTATTTTTATGTTTTACTGTACTTAAGTATTAATTTTTACTATAAAAGTTACATACGTTTTCCTTAGTTAAAAATCTACCCTTGTAGAATTTTACCGATGTGCGACTCGATTATTGAAAAACATACTGAAAGGTCCCAATTGCATAAGAGCTACGTTTATGATGAACATACAACGTATGATGGGAGCAGCTATTAAAGCTATTATAAAGTTATATTTATTAATATTGAGGCAAAACTATAACATTGATTGTCTATGCTTTCAGCTCGTGTGTTCCGTTCGTCGCCACAGTTCGGTGTGACGCTCGTCACTTACGAAATCCTGCAACGTCTCTTCTACGTCGACTTTGGAGGAACGTAAGTATTTTTAAATAATAACCTATTCCGAAACACGATTTTACAAAGTTATACGCACCTGTTGAAAAAATGACGCACGTGCAACTTTTTCTACAAGTCAAAATGAAGTATGGCTTGAGTGCACCAAATAAATACTATTAATTACAGCGCTCAGTATTAATAAAATTCAGCTAAAGTCCGGTCGCCGAGCAGATAGAATTTCATACAATGACCCCAAGCTACCCATCCTTATTCGCTGGGTGCGAAGTACTAGGTGGGGGTAACATAATCGATCGCAGCGTTCATGGTGGTCAAAAGTAGAAATAATGTAAGCTCTGTCATCAGATGTATCTGTCAATGGCAAAGCGATTCTACATATTACATTTTAATATCATTAATTAATCGCATGAAAAGGGTCCTACTGGAAAATTAAATAAAAGAGTGGACTGTATTTCGATAGGGCTGGTTTAATAGCCGTTTACAATTTGGAAATAACTAGACTATACAACGTGGTAGTACAAAAATTAGTCACAGTAGTTGTTGTGCACAGATGTTTGCCTTATGATGAGAGCGTGAATTATTGAACTCTGCCCTTGTTTTGTTCGTAATTCTTCTACATCTCGGACTTATCCAGCCAATACCAACAACTTTCCTTTAAATACGGTTTGTGGTTGGAATTTGATATTGTAACACTCACAAACCTGGTCTTCAAAACAATACTCATTTCGATCTGAAAACGATATTTAATTTATTACTAGCGATACAGGAACATTTAAATATATTTACTGTTATATAATGAAACCGTTAAAGTAGCTTTTTCTTTTTGTTTTACTGTAAAACTACAACTTTAAATGAAGTAAACAAACCCTGACACAATAAAAATTAAACACACTTTTTGGACTTACCTCATTTGATTTGAATGAACAAAATGATTTCAAAACCTTTTTTCCACCCAAATCGTGGTATCACAACAATTTATTAGTTGAAAGTATTTGTTATTTTTTCATTTCGATATTTTTTCACAAATATACGACCTAAATGTCAATGTTACAGAGCCCACAAAGTTGTGGACGCTAGTTGGCGCTGTAATCGTGCACAGAGCCAATCGCTCGCGCGTAATTATATTGCTGTCATGCTTACTGCATCAGCCCGTCACGAAATTCTATAGTGCTCGACGACCGGACTAAGGTTCAATACTTTCGCGCGAAGAATTCTCACAGAGCGTGTTGTGACTTTGTTTTGGCGAAGAAAACACTTTCTTTCACTTTTTACGCTTACTTGAAAAAGTATTTAGAATAATAAATCCATTTATTATATTACTTAGTCGGCCGTTTGGTGTAGTGGTTCGAAACGGACTACTATTCCGGTGGTAGCGAGTTCGATTCCCGCACAGTACAAACATTTGTGTGCATATGAACATACCTATTTGTTTGTATTGGACTGGGTGTTTTCTATGTATAATAAGTATATTATTATATTTACAAAAAAAAGTATTTAAGTATGTTTATATCCGTTGTCTAGTACCCATAGTACAAGCTTTGCTTAGTATGGGACTAGAAGCGCAGTGTCAATGTCCAAGGATATTTATTTATTTTATTGGTTGTGAAATGGAACGGTTCGGAACAAACTGCATTGAATCTATATTGCATGTTGTGTCAGCCTATAATTGTTGTTGCATTGTAACTTTGTTCATAATTGTAATTTTTAAGTGTACATGTTGTAATGTAACAATGTTGGTAGACCTAATAAATAAATAATAAATAATAATAATTTATCTTCCAGTCGACCGACCGGCTCGGAGTTGCACGTGGCGACACCTATTGAAGAAGTCAAGAAGAAGGCCGATCACATCGGCGGATACCAGGTCGCGATACCAGTCCTCACCGGCCTCGAAACCAAATTCGGTATCTCGCTACCAAGATTCTCGTTCCCGAAACCGGCGGCTCAGTAGGTACGGACCTAGTAAATACCACCTAGTACGGAACGTGATATTTAGTCACGTGATTTGGAATAAGCTATGAGTATGAGAGCCTAGATGAGGCACTCGATATTGGCGTCACGTAATGTTCGACAGAGTAACATTACGTCTGTATTGTAACTTTATTCAGCAGTACTGAGGGCTGAGTGTGAATTTACATCAATCGTCGTCACTAGTATAATTAAAAAAATCTATGGAAATGTTAGTTCTTGAAAGTATCCGCTAGGGGCGCTGTACAATTTGTAATACATTTAATGTCACTTTTTTACGCAATGAGGGCTATCGTTTTAGCGCTCACCAGTATGCGCCACTGTAGAGTAAGGTCCTGTCACTTGCTAGTAGCGAAGACAGTGGCGCCAACTTGTGAGCGCTAAAGTGGTAGGAGGACTATCGTATTTGCACTCATCAAGATGGCGCCACTGTAGAGAAAGGTCCTGTCAATCGCCAGGGGTGCCAACTGTTAAGTATAAAAACGATAGCCCTCATTGACATCTAATGCGTTTGACGTAAACTCACACTACGACCCCTGGTTAGTAAAAGTTTTAATTTAATTATTAGTGCAGGCTTCTTTACTTATATTCATGATTATTGGGCTTTACAGAATATTGCTTCATGATACAAAAAAAGTATAATGATTAAAGGTATAATTTTTTATTTCTAATTATTTTTAGGGCGGGAACATGTGCAAAAATATATCTATTTAAAATCACATGTAACTGATTATGTTAATTGTTCGTTTGCCTTGATTTACCGTCACTCTTTTAAGAAAGAAGCCGCACTATTCTAGTTATCATTCGCACCTTACAGCATTTTACATCAAATCCTTCTTTTTTGAAGATTTTTTATATTAATTTTAATTTAAACCATTCGAAATCAAAGTCGAACTATTGTTAATTTGTTTTGTTATGACTTTTTGAGTGAAAATGTTTTTGAAATGATACTGATTATAAATTTTTATTTATAAACACTGCCTATTTGGGACCTAGATACATCCCTGTCATTTAACGTACGTATTTGTTGCCAGTTAACATTTAATTCAATCTTTCCACGGTACAAGCCTACGATTAACTTTTAACTTTTGATAAGGGTAACGTAACATCGTACAAAAGCGACCTACCTACCTGATGTTAAACATTTGGAGATACTGAGATTAACGTATTTTTAGAACGTCGTAGCTAGAATAATACTTAATATTAACAGTTATGACCTATGATCACTGAATTCCCTAATATTTTTAGCACAACTAGCGTAATTACTTTGCGCTCTATAAAATACAGTAGCGTGTCTCGAATACACGTAGTCCACTTAGAGCACCCGCCAAAATAGCACCTGCACGAATAGCACCTGGCCTAGTCCACGAAGAGCACCTATCGATATTTTGTTCTCCCTGTTCGTAGACAAAAATTTAAAAAAATCCACGAATAGCATATCGATAGGTGCTCTTCGTGACTAGGCCAAGTGCTATTCTTGCGTGTGCTATTTGGGCGGGCGATCTAAATGGACTACTCATCGAAAAACATTCTGAATTTGTATAAAACTCTTCTGTATTGCCAGAATCGACAAATTAAACAATAAATTTTATTGTCCTAAACATAAAGTCCAATTTCCAATGTTCGTGATTGTAGGTCAGATTATACGCTTGGGCACGTCCATAGATAATGCGTTATAATGCTTATGTAGTAAGTAGCTGTGTATACGCTTATGTATAAGGTGAAATATACAAATGTACAATTTAATTGATCGTTTTATATAATATCTATAAAATAGCCAAGAAATAATATAAAGTTTTTTGACATTGTGAACGAAATATTGTACAGTTTTTTGCGTATTGTTTTTTGAGCATTTAAAAACATTAAAACAGTTGGCGCTGCCAAGTGCTGTAAAATTAAATATTATTACAATTATTCAATTTATTCCATTTAAGATAATTTTGCTGATTGAACAAATTTTTCCATAGAATCGACATCAAGATCTTTAAAAATAATTTCCAAGTCGTGTTTGAATAGAAGAAAGATAATAATGAAGCTGTCTGTAGTAGCTCAGTTTAACAAGCACATTATACAGTATTTTTAATCTAAACTCCTATCTAATGTCTCACTTGCAAAATTATTTCTCTAATTGCTATTGTATATTGCATTATAAATACTGTAATTAAATTAACATACAGTATTGTAAATACTTTGCACTATTTTTAGCAAAACAAATTCTATCTAGCTGTTAGTAAATAAATCAAGGATTTTTATTATCATATTTTATATGAATCTCTTTTCAAAATGTTCCACGCCGCTTTATACGACAATTTATTAAGAAATACTCAAGACACTGCAAGTTTTTGGACGTTCCAATATTTTTATACTTAAGATTAATTTCACACTATCACGGTAACCTTTACTATGTCGAATTTATGATTTTCATATCAGATTCAAATTAAGATATTGAAAAATAGCTTTTTGCAATAATATAAGAGAAGTGCTGACTTCACAAAATGTCCATAAAAGCGCACTAAATATATTAACTTCTTGCTTAACCACTCGTATTTTAATGAAGTTGAGCTTAATTTATGAATCTTATTAGGGACCATTTACCAAATAATTGACCAAAAGACACTGGCGATGTATTTTTCAAATTTCTTGCTTAATATGGGCGGGGCATGCCACGTGACCACTTTTAGCCCCTCCCATATAGTATGTGGCACAATATAGTCAGTATTTGTGAATGGCCCCTACTAACCAGTGGTACGCAAATTCGTATTTGTACTATGGATGGCCCAATACACGATTGCACAAGTTGTAAACCCGAATCACTATTTATCTCTTTCTGTATCGATAATTATATTACTTATAAGCGAAATGTTGTCAAACAACGTTGTAAAAAGTGAATCATAGGAGTAAAGACAAGTGATAGAAAACCGATGTGACTACTATATTTATTGATATTGTACATTTTTGTGTTAAAAATAAATCGAATAAAACCTTGATTTCGTATTTTATTTCAGTAGAAGTATTTTTAAGTCATGTGGATCTAACAGGTTTAACAGGGTTCTTCCTAAATGATTGTCTCAATAATTACTAAACAGACAAACTTCTTTGTTATATTACTGTGTAAAGCCCGGTCGAGCGTGACAGCAACATAATTACGCGCGAGCGATAAGGATGGGTAGTTTGGGGTCATCGGACAAAATTCTACGTGCTCGCAGACCAGACTATGGGTAGATCTACTATTAACTGAGTTTGTCTGATATGGAGTTTTTATAAAAGATTGTTGGCTGGAAATTGATTTCTACGTGTAATAAGTGGCGGGAAGAACTAGTAGGATTAAATTAAAATACCAATAAAATTCAAAGCTCAAAAGAGTTTTATTTGACTTAACTGTGCGGTAAACGTAATGTAGTTAACACAACACTACTTTGGTGATATTAGATTACATTGAGCGTTTATACAAGACAATAAATAAATTATTACATCAAAACGAACGAAGGGTGTTAAAAATTAACTGTTAAAATTAACTCGTATATAATGGACGTGAAGAGTAGAGTTTTTGAAGAATACGACAACACACAACTTGTATAATTTCACTATCTTAAAATATAAACTATATTGGATATATACAACGTCATATTATCAACTGTACATAATAAAATCCAATTCACAGGCACGTCTTAGTCGATTTTAGGTATTATTAATAGTCCATTCTTCAAAAACACTACATAATAATGAAAGTAGGTATTATTCTATGATACCTTCTGCCAGTCCATAAACTTGGCTGTTAACCCTTATTCAAACGCGAGCTGGTTTGCATTTTTTTTACAAAGTTAAAGTGGATTTTGGGTAATTGTGGGTCACTTATTTCATATTTTTGATCAAAATTTATAAAAAAATAGGGGAAGGGGTAGTTTTTTGGGTGGTAAATAATTTACCATTATCCATTCATGACTACGAATTATTAAATGTTGGTGGTAAAATAGTTACCATTGTCCGTTTTGGTTTATTTTTGGTTCTTGACTAGTGACTTCCTCTTGGTTCTACCTATATTTTATTAAATATTTTGGGAATGAAATAAATATATTGTTTTTATATTTATTAATATTACTTATTATGCTTACAATTAGGATGCTTACCTTGAGTCTGAAACTAATAATTCACTAATTACGTAACGTCAAAACGTTACGTAAACAGATATCAAAATAACTTAAAATTTCTCCAAATATTTATTTAGTTTTATTTGTGCACATACAAAAAACAGCAGTTTTTTATATATCATCAAACTTTTGTCAAGACGGGATCGGACAATGGTAAACTATTTACCACTTCTTTAAAATGTCTAAATTATATGAATAAATCAATTGCAGACGTTGCCTATAAGTGAGATTCTACAATAAATGTTATAGTTTTAGTTTTTACGCACCTGTAACGCCCCTGGGTCTGCGGGTGTCTATGGGCGACGGTAATCACTTACCATCAGGTGATCCGTCTGCTCGTTTGCCTCCTATCACATAAAAAAAAAAAAAAAAAAAAAAAAAAAAGTTTAGGAATTTGAATCCAAAAAACACTTATCAGAATTTTCGTTGAACAAAGTTTCAAAAATACCAAAAACGCGCGCTAAAAACTTGAAATTTTTCACACCAAAACCGTTTGGTTGACTTTGACATTACCTGACAGTGACAAATGACGTTGAAAAGTTGTAAAATGGCATTGATAAGTAAAAAAATATATTTAAAAATATAAATAAGTGACCAAGATATCTTTAAGTATTACCATATCGAAAATTAGGATTCTTTTTTAAAAGTAAACAAAGTGGTAATATATTTACCTTTATTTAAATAAGGGTTAAAAGGTACCCATGGTTTGTTTAAAAATAAGAATTAACTACGGTATTCGCTAACATCTTGATGTTGTGTCCACCCATGTACAGATTCAAAAAATATACGCGGTTTTATGTCAGGTGCGTAAGGTTTAAAATCGAATACACTCAACAAAAATAAGGTCAGAACTAATAGGATCAAAAGAACATTAAATTAAATAATAGATCTGTTTGTAGAAACGCAGTTTTAATTAAATAATTTATGACAATAAGAGTTTCACCAAAAAGTATCTACAAGCTTGATCTAAATGGTTGACAAAAAATGTTGAAAAATTTGAAAAGCAATGTAGTCATGTTCTTATTTAACTCAGATAACCACGAAACGCAGAGAACAACAATTTATGTATTAAAATGTCAGTCACACATTACAAATTTCACTTGTAATTATTATTGCAACAATTTTATTTAGCCTATGAGATTTTTCTCAAACTAGTAGGAACTGTTTTTTGTCATGACCAATCCACATTGAATTCTGTGGTACAACCAAATTAAATCAATAATAACTAAATATCGTCGTTTAGTGACAATACATCCTAACTGTTATTTTACAGGAGAAGAAAAAGCGATAAAAAATACGTAGGAAATATCAGAAGATTAGTCTACGCGAAATCGAATTTCAAGTTTGTATAGTCGATTTGTTAAAGAATGTTAGTGATATTGTCACTTCAACGACGACACGCATTTTATTGCTATAAAACAGTTCTACTACATCTGTTACCAATTATCGATCCCAATTTTGCCATAAGCTTTGGGTGTTTATCTACGCAGTTTTAAATTCACGCAAGACACGCTTCTGAGTCAATACGTGGTTTTACTACAATAGCCAAACTTTATGCCTCATAGTGCCAAATACTATGAAAACATCTTCTAAACTCACGACGTTTTCATATAACTAACATAATTTTATATTCGAGCGACGAGGCTTATCAATTAACGGCCTTGACTTTAAGTAACTTACACATGTAAATGTACGAAAATTGTGACCAAATGATACCCATACTTTTTACTATTAAGGCAGTGTCAATTGCGATATTTGTCTCTACTCCACAAGTCACTAATGCCCAAGAAACTAACTACTTTGCATTCTAAAATCTATTTAATTATTATCAAAATCTTATTTGGTAAACCCATAATTTCACTGTCTTAAATAAGCTAGGTTGTATGAAAAATATTTTTTTATATTAGTTCTATACTTTAAATTGTACAACATAATAATTATTCATCATTAACAACATTAATATATTTATTTCTGACAAAATTAGTTCTATGTGCAATCGCTACCAAACATAAATGGACACAACTCAAGAAAATGTAACTAGAAACATAATAACATGTTTATAAATTAAATGCTAGACTTCTCCGAAAGATGTATGCATGGTTTCTTTAGCGTGCTTTTGGGCTTCAACTTGTCCAGTCAAGAACTTGTCACAGATCATACACTTGAGAGTAAACTTGTTTAAATCGGTGAATTGTCTAGATGATTTCGCTTCATGGGCTAGTTGTTCAGCTTCATGGTAAACATCCATATCTTCAGCAGGAAAAACTGTTTTGATTCCTCCCTAAAACAAAAAAAAATCAGTAACTAAGTTTAAAGCTTAACTTAAATATTTCACTCAGATTATACATCTGAAGCATCTTGAATTTGTTTATTTATGTGACCTGATAATTAACCCAATCAAAGTGGTACAACTTATTTACAATTCGTTGTAAATCATATTATCTTTATGTGTGGTATTAAATTATCATAAACAGATTCTTACATCAGATTGTTCTAAATATAAAGGATCGTAGTGAACTCCATCGAAGAGTAGAAATACTCTTTGTCCATAGTTTTTATCTTCACCAAATCTATTTATTATTGCATTTAAAGTATCCACCACAGCCATTTCCAGTCCGTAGAAACGTGATAGGATTGCTACCTGCAATTTTAAAACATAATGGAATAAGTTTTTGAAAAATGTCAGAAAAAATCTTTATAAATTAATAGTACTTTAACACTTAATTAAATTAATTTACAATGACATTAAAATACATTATTCTAGCTAGACTACCTCAATAGCTCCTCCCCATGAGCTCGGCTGTTGAATCCAGGCGCAGTACTCGGAGTTTGGCTTCCCAAGCATCGCTTCGTTGTATGTGTCTAAGTCGCTGGCCACCTCCATCGCAATGATCTGTCGCATGAGTGTGTGTACCGTTGTATCTACATTGCCATTTAATACAAAACCTGAAATATTCCAATAGGAAAATAAATTAAAATTGGAATCAAATTAGGAAATAATTATGTAAAATCTATATTTTGAGAGAACACTTTCCTTTTTTTAAATAAACTTTCAATTTATATTAATGAGTCACTTCAAAGTGCAATGATATTGCAACAAAAGCATTCACAATGCGTAGGTAGCCTTTGTTTCAACATAATAATGAATGATCAACAATCATTGCCAGCTTGTAACAAATGGGCAATAAAAAAGGCAATAACACAATATCATTGGTTTTCTTGAACATACAACTACGTAGCAAATAATATAGGGCATAAAGTACGGTTCAAGATAAATACCTATACTTGTAAAAAGACATGAGTTGTCTGAAGGGACAACTTTCTTCATCAAAATGCCAGGTCTACATGACTCAATAGTCTCATGAGAGCCTACGCCATTCTCCACTGGTTTTTTCTCGATCTTTACAGGAGACTTCTCAGCCTGTGGAGGTGCCACTCCAGCCTTCTCCTCAACTATTAGGGTTTCGCCAGTTTTCAGACCTATTTCACTTATTTTCTTATTATTGTCACTGATATCCAGGGGTTTCGGTGGATAGCCACACAACACACAAATCCTCTCGAAGCTAACATCCGAAATGCTAGACAGAAACGTTTTTAGTTCACCAACAGTACTATCAGAGGTCAAATCTTTTATAACTTGTTGACCATTCTTGCTTTTCACTTTGAACGCTACTGCTGTCATTTTTGTCTAAAATTTTGATTTAAATATTAACTATTAAAATAAATCAACAGTGCCGCGTTGCAATTTCAATTTTTGGATCAAAGAGACGCCACAAATGAATGAATTAAAAATTACGGAATTGACTTTTTTGAAATGACAAATACATGACATGACAGACAAAAAATGACAAAGCGCGTTGCACTGACAGTTGAGAGTCAGTGTTGCAAGTAAGAAAAACTATTTCTAGTTAGATTTATTGCAGTCCGAACGAAACTCAAACTTATGCCATAAAATGTTGAATGTTGACATGTTTTTGTTGATTGTGTAAAGCAAAAGACCCGGCTTTAGTGTGTGCATTTGTATGTTAGTACCTAGTACCTAACAATATACAATGTATCCATTATGTGCAATAAATAAATAAATAAATTTAATAATTATCTGTGTCGCAAAACATCTTAGTAATGGATTAATTTGCATAAGCATGTAAAATCATTAAGAGCAATAATTAATTAAATTAATATTGAAATTACGAATTTTCATAAATCCTTTTATTTCACAAAGAATTCACTATTTCGCAATTTCATATTATGATTTAGCATTTTTCATATTCTATGAAATTTCATAATATCATATCCAATATCATTTAATTTTAGCTATGTTTACTTATGTAGCTTTCGTGACATTTAATGCAATTAGTTGGATGTCAATGCATGGGGAGTTGATGTCAATGCATAGATGGGAAAAAAAATAAAATTAAAACCACATTATTAGAATTTCATGGCGTTTTAATAAAAATAACTTCCTACTTATAAATATTTTCATAATCTAAGTTATAAAACACTATCTTAATGTTTTTTACATGTCATGAATAATTACACAATTTTTGGCACTATCAAGTCAGGAAAAGTAAAATACAACAGTTGTCTAATGTAAAAGAGACTTGTAACTATCTGTTACACAACACATTACTTAAGACGTACAAAACATTTTATCCATGAAACACTGCTATGGGTGGTTATGTACTTTATTGGTATAGAATAGAACAATTTGGCTAGCAATCGTCAATGGAATTGTACTTCCTTACTTGCTATAGTATACATTTAATGAGAGTTGATTAACTATTAAATTGATATGGATTTGAACACCTAGCATTAACAACAAAATTAGTTTACACCTTATATCTTATTTTACATATTGTCAAGTTAATTTATTTCTATTTATTTGTGCTTCACTAATTTAAGAATAATTATTTATTTGTTTATTATTAAGTTAAATAAGTCAAAATGCCGTTGCTTATAGTCTGTTCTAAATTTTGTTAAATTATTGAACTCGGGCCTTTTGTCTGAACTTCTAGATAGGTTTTTGCTTATGAATTATTGTATTAAAAAAAAAATATTAACGGTATAAATAAGTACCGTCATAAACTATGGCACTAGGTAATATAATAAACAGTAAGTAACAGTTTTACTATGTCAGAGCTATTTTTTATTCTTTGGTAATTATGCAATATTATGACTACTAACAAAAATCGATTACGTACAGATTACAGCACATAAACCTATTCAATTGTCTTTCTAATAGTTAGGTATAATATTCTTAATGAGTATTTTTGTGGTAACCACTAGTTAAAATTAAGTAAAGAACATATACTTAACTATTTAATAATTTATGTACAGTTTCCAATCAGTCGTAAAAATAATTTCATTTAAACTTTTGCAGTTTAATATTATTATTAGTAGACCGTTTTTATTAAATATCAAAGTAATCAAGGTCAAAACGTCACAAGTGAGCTTAGTTATTTACCAAATGTGCGAATAACTAAACAGTTTTGTGTCTTTTAGAGGTGCATTATTGGCGGATTGCGAATTTTTTATAGGCAGTGGTTATTTAAACAAAAAGGCGTTTTGTTGAAGACTCAAATAATTACCGTTACAAGTTCTTTGCATGCGAAAAAACATTCAAGACTCCGCCAATACCTTTGATTTTAATGCACGCTCAACATTAGTTTAATTTATGCATCCTGTAATATGTGAACGCTCCATCACGCGTTTTGTTGATTATGTCATACAAAACAAGCTTTATCTACGCCTGCAAGAGACTAATAATGTGCTTCATTAAACAAAACATGCAAAATCCATAAAACATTATCAGTCTGATACGGACCTAAAGTCCCAATAAAATTGACGTATGGTATATTTTTTTTATCTGGCAACATTTGACAAACCAAAACTTTTATACCCGCGAAAGTTTAATTTGGAGTTTGCATTGCACACACGCTAACCTTTCTAAATTTTGCCATACACCATTTGTCGCGTTTTCGGGGTGAAACGACAAAATTACAATGGACCTGGACCTTTTGCCGGCAAAAACCGATTGTGCGTGTTTCTGTGTGGTCGCCTGTGCCTCGGATGCCGCGGTAATGGCCACCGTCACGTGGGCCTTCTAACGAATCTTGGCGAGGGGCCTCGGAGTCCCCGTCGCCCCACGACGAGTGGCGGCATACGTTCATCTTCTTCTTCCTCATCTTCTCCGCCTTCCGAGCTGTCTTCTCCGCTCCATACCTCTGGTGCGACGGCTTGGTACGACGCGGAGAATCCTTTGAATACGATGGAGTCGTCTGTTCGGAACCTGACCAGCAACGCTTCGGTGGTGGACACTATTTCTGGAGGCATCTGTGGAAAATGGAAAACCATGAGGTAAGTTAAGTACTTACCTACTTGGGCACTTTTAATTTTACTGATTAAGTATTATTACGCCCGTATTCACAAACATTACTATGAGGTCTCACAGTGCGCGTAGACGCTCAGGGTGACACACGACCCAATCACAGAGCTCTATTCAACGCTTTGCGTTCGATTTGCTGCTTCACTTAAGCAAGCATCGTTTGTGAATACGGGCGTTAGAAGTTTTGAATGCTTAAAAATAAGATGATCGTTACATGATAAGGTATTGTAGGAATGCTCGTATACATAGCGAAAACCCTGAATAAACTAGTGTTAAGTTCCGAATTACCTTAGTCCCACAAAACGTGCCGTAGTCCCCAGCGCTCCCTTCCAATCCCCCGAAGACCTGGACGTAGTCATAGCCACAGTTAGCTTCTGGCTCCAGCTCGAATGTCAGGAAGGTCAGCCTTACGAACTGGCCCATAGGAGCTACGATACTCCAGTCGCAGTCTGCGCGAGATTCGTACGAGTCGTCGCCATAGCGCGCGTGGGAGTACAGGTGCTTGACTGTTTCTGATGCTGCTAAGTAACCGCCGCATGCTGAAAAAAGAAAGGTTTGTAAGAGCTGATCAGAAGACTAGCAGCTTTATCCTGCACGATCTAATCAAAACTGAGAAGATAGACGGATATCAAGTATCAGATACCAAAATCAGCTTCTTCCTTCCTGTCGATAGGAATAGTAGAGAGCAATAAAAACCAGATTTATTGCTCTCTAATCTCTCTAACTTAAAAACAATCAAAGCTCTACAATCAGCACTAAAATTTTGACTTGTCAAAATCCCTAGTTTTCTAGATGTTAAAAAAATACTTTAATAAGACGAAAATTACCAGTAGAATGTGTGGCCAAGAATCCCTTCCTCTGCACAGAGGCGTCAGACTTGAACACCACGTACATCTGGTTTTGAGATGCCACCACTGGGTGCGGGATCTTGCTGCCACAGAAACGGCCCAGGGTCTTCTCGTCAGCAGACGCTCCGTCGTAGATAGTGACATGATCGTACGCGCATTCCTGGACATAGAAAAAGGAAGGTACCTATAAAAAATGCCGTAGCAGAAAGGGATAGACAAAAAATTGAGCTCCATCGTAGATAGTGACATGGTCGTACGCGCATTCCTGGACATAGAAAATAAAGAATATAAAAAAGTACCGTATCAAAAAGGGATGGAGAAGAAACTGAACAGTCTATTACCTGATGAGGCTCCAGTTCAAATACGTTGAAAATCAGCTTGATGCGGTGCCCAGGAGTTGTGGAGAACTGCCATACGCAGTCTTTTCTAGACGGGTACGTGTCTGGATAGTTTGGGCTGTAAAAATATCGTTCATGTAATCAACAACATCATTGCTCGCGCTAGAGTTAAGTACAATGCAGTTTTTGGAACTTTTTTTTCTGCTAGCGCTCTGCATAAAGCGGGTTACAGACCAAGAGCTAAGCTAAACTAACTTAGCTTAGCTGTGACCTGTGACCGGCATAATCATGGTAAATGATTAGGACCATTATTTACCTGATAATAGTTCCATGGGGCTGCGTAACGTCATGTTTACAACCACCCTCTTTGCAATCGTGCTTATTTGGATGAAGAGTGAACCCACTGTGGCAAGCACATTCATATCCACCTAGAGTGTTGTGGCATTCGTGCTGACAACCACCGTTGTTCTCGGCGCATTCATCCACGTCGATGTAATAGACTGCGGCAAAGCCTGAGCGATGGACTGACGAGTCTGAAGTGAACTGGAAATAAATAATGTTTTAACTAAGTCACATAGTACTTCTTATCAAAATTTCTTTATTTGTTTAGACTAATAAATAGTTCTTACAAATCGTCTTGATTTTAGACGATTTGTATCGACGAATGTATGACGATTTGTATGACGATCGCAAAAATCAAGTGGCAGTGGGCGGGGCACATAGCTCGAAGAGCTGATGGCCGCTGGGGCAGGAAAGTTCTTGAGTGGCGACCACGAGCTGGAAGACGTAGCGTGGGCAGGCCTCCCACTAGGTGGACCGACGATCTGGTGAAGGTCGCGGGAAGTACCTGGATGCAAGCGGCGCAGGACCGGTCTTTGTGGAAATCCTTGGGGGAAGCCTTTGTCCAGCAGTGGACGTCTTTCGGCTGAAACGACGACGACGACGACGACAAATCGTCATTTTGCTCTTAAGGAGCCTCTACATGTCTCATAATCTTTTTACCCTACCAGCGCTTCGAGACCAACATTTGGCAAGTGCTGAGAAGAAGCGCCGCAACAAACTATTTTCACGTTTCTGAAAATGACCTAATAAGTTATCATGAGATCTGAGTTGGGTACGCTATGACGTCATAACTAACCTGGACCCGCAAGACTGAACCGTCTGACGTCACAGGCGGCGGCAGAGCGTTGCCGCAGAACGCACCGTGACGGCGAAGCACGTCGGCGCCGAGTTTGGAGTTCACCGTCACGCTATCGTACTCACATTCCTGGAACAAAAATTCGAAACATGTCTTGTTAAAGTCATGTACCAATTTCATTAATGAGAGTAACTTAATAAGTAACGTATTCATTCAATCATTCAATATAAGATAATCGCCCGAATTCGCAAACGATGCTTGCCTAAGAAAGTGAAGCAGCAAATCAGGCGCACAGCGTTGAATACTGCCGCACAATTTATAAACGCAGTAAGTACCACTTACTGCATTTATGATTGTTTTGAATATTCTGAATCCTGACATCGCGATCTATAAGAATCAAAGACCCGTTTTTTTCTATCTATCTTAGAACGGAAGATACATATTATCATAAACGCAGTAAAGAGCATATTTTAGGTTTCTTCACATACTATGTTAGCAGTAAGAGCACATAATAACTTAATATTACGTGAATACTCGCGCTTACTTAATTTGCTACACAGTAATAGTGCAGTATGTGCCAATTACATCATTCTTATTATGTTTCTACAATTGTTAAGTTCACCTTGCACATAGTATATCGATACCTCTGGGCTCAAAGGTCGTAAAGGACAAAATACCGAAAATGAGTTATTTATACAGTTTTACTCAGAATTTAATTCTCTATCGATCTGTATATTTAGTTTATCGAAATTCCCAAAAAAAGTGCCTTTACGACCCATCATTTTTGATAAGCTAAACAGAATTCATCGTGAAAATTGGGATGTAAATACCATTTGATTTTTTAGTTCAGTTACCATGGTAGTAAAGAACAAGTATACACAAATTTTTGGGCGTATAATGTACATGTAGTATATCTATTGTCCTATACAACCTCACATTTTCATACCCAAGTCTAAATAATTTGTCCTTTACGCTCTTAGATTATCTAAACAAATATTTTAAAAATCTACACAGTGAGGATATTAAAATAACTGTGAAGGTAAATTTTATAGACGTTTCTTATAGTATTTAAGTATGTGCGTTGGGAACAAACGAAAGAACTTAAAAAATCATCAAAAATATATAATAAAACTATTTAAAAGTGTAATTTATGTGATTTATACATATAAAATGATGCCATCTACCCACATCGGGTAAAGTAATGTTGCTTTTTATTATTTCTCATATTTGAAGAAACTAGGTATTTGTCAGGTAAAAGAGAATTATTAAAAGATGATTTAAGAAAATAAAAACATGCTATAAAATAACGTATTACCTAATTAAGTTAGGATAGTCATCATAAAAATTGAAAAAATGAAAAAGCTACATTTGTTAAAAATATTATGAGAAAAAAGTCACCTTACTGTAGTACCTTAGGTGTCATTATTTTGTATGCACAAATCACACAAATACTACACTTTACAATTATTTTTAATGATTTCCTAGTAATTTTGACTAACGCCCTTGGTCAAAACCACTTTTGAGTTTTGACTGTTACAATTATAATAAATTAGTATAGTTTCTAAAGTTATTTGGATCAGCTAATAAAGAATAACTAGTAGGAAAAATATTTACACAACATGGGAAAATATATGTTGAGACTAAGAGTAGGCGCACACCGTTGATTTTTCGTCGGCCGATAGTTTAGTCGGGCAGTTCATCAGTATGAGCATGTATGGGAGTGCGCACACTACGCCGATTCGATTTCGCCGATTCTTCATACAATTTAAAATCGGGCACAACTATCGGCCAACTAAAAATCAACGGTGTGCACCTACTCTTAATCTACTAAAAAGCGTGAATGCAGTTTTTTTCGAAGTTATATTTTTATGCTAAAAATAATTGGCTTTTAAAAACGGTATTATGTAGGAGTAAAGTAAGTAGATGTACTTTACTGGAATGAAAATCTTCCTACTTGTAATCTTACTTACCTAACTTTTCTACTTTTATACCAAGTACAATGACATAATTTTAAGCTACTATGAATTAATAATGTTTAATTTATTTAGAATTTGGAATAATAATTATTCTAAATTCTTATTAAATAATATAATAAATAATTAATATAGTTTGGTTTTCGTTTGTCCTTAATAATTCTATTATATGAAATTATCTGCATTATCATAAGGTCAACTGGTGTACAGACTGCCCTATGGAATTAAGTCCGCTATTTGTAGTTTTTCGAAACAATAATAATGATTAAATAAATAAATAAAATTAATTTGGTTTCGGTTTTTCCTATAAAGTAGACATTTATGAAGTTTTATTTAAAAGCGTCATAATATTTATTTTCTAAATTTGCTTCTATATCGGAAATAGTTTTTTCTAGTTCGAAGATATCAAAACTTCTATTTAAATAGTTTCATAAGTTGTGTGCATTAAATTATGAAGCTACGGAAAATCATTTTATTTCATTTAAAAAACCATAATTCATTTAAAATATGTGAAGAAATGGTATATTACATATATGAAATACCATAAAATATTAAATAGTTAAGCTAAATCATCAATTTACCCTTTCATAATACCTTACCTGGGTGTCCCGTTACGACCCATGAAAACCTACAAAACTATGTAAATTGTCATTTATTACCTTAGTTTTGTAGTTTTGTGAAATAAAAATAGACTTACGACCTAAGTAACTTGCCTAGGACGAATATTTGAGGGGCGTAAAGGTCTTTTTATTGTAATTTTGAGGGCGTAAAGGAAATCTATCTCAGTAAATACAGCTCTAGTCCAGTTTTTCAATACCTCTTCGGAAAATGCTGTGAATTCTAAGCACTTTCTTCATAAGTCATAATTTAATAGCTCAAAAAACAAAAAAGTTATCGTCGACTAAAAAAATAAAAAAACGTTTTTTGCTTCTCCTGAAAAGTCGTACTTTGTCCTTTACGACCTTTGAGCCCAGAGGTATCGATATGTGCAGTAATTCCACTTAAACACACACTGATATTATGTTTCCATAGGAAAAACAGATGAATCGTACTTAATATTAATGCAGTAATTACAATTATACTGCGTACATACTAAGGATTGTCAGAGTGCTGCCTAGGTGTTAACATGTTATGAACGCAGTGGCTGACTCTTACGTTATTGGAAGAAGTTGAAAACCTGTCCAAATGACAAATCTAGCCGAAGACCCAAGAGCTAGATTGACCCGACACTATACCGAAGATATCCCGGACGTGTCTGTACGAGATTAGAATGGCTCTCAAACAGCTGAAAAACAACAAGGCACCGGGCGATGATGGAATCACGGCTGAGCTTCTGAAATCAGGCGGAACGCCGGTACTAAAGGCTCTTTAGAAGCTATTCGATTCCGTCATCCTTGAGGGAAAAACGCCTACGGCATGGCACAGAAGTGTGGTGATACTCTTCTTCAAAAAAGGCAACAAAACCTTGTTGAAGAATTTATTTTATACCCATCTCACTTCTGATTCTGTTTTTGAGAGTCATCATGAATGGTTTCACGCGACATCTAGCCTCCCGAACAAATCGGTTTCCGATAAGGCTTTAGTACGATAGACCACATACTTATCTATGGCAGAAAACTGAGGAGAATAATCAGCAACTTTGTCTGGCATTTGTGGTCTATGAGAAAGACTTCTCTCTTCAAGCTACAGTCTCTCCAACGGTGCCAAATTTACTATAGATATAATCGTTGAAGGGCTTGTACGAATAGGCCACAATGTCAGTCCGTCTCCGGGATCAGGACTTCAGTTGCAGCGAGGGGTCAGACAGGGAGATGTCATATTTCTAAAACTGTTCACTACCACTCTGGAAGATGTTTTCAAGCTTCTGGACTGGAGCGGATTGGGCATAAATATCATCAGCGAGTACATCACCCATCTTTGATTCGCGGACGATATCGTAGTCATGGCTGAGAACGTGGAGGATCTAAGCTCAATCCTCGATTGCCTCAATAGAGCCTCTCAACAAATGGGTCTTTAATGGACAAGACAAAAATCATGTCAAATGCCGTGCTGTACCCACTCCTCTGAAGGTTGGAGACACTATAAGTTGTCTGATGGCCGCTGGGGCAGGAAAGTTCTTGAGTGGCGACCATGAGCTGGAAGACGCAGCGTGGGCAAGCCTCACACTAGGTGGACCGATGATCTGGTGAAGGTCGCGTCAGGTGCCTGTATGCGAGCGGCACAGGACCGGTCTTTGTGGAAATCCTTGGGGGAGGCCGTTGTCCAGCAGTGGACGTCTTTCGGCTGAAACGAACGACCGAGTCTTTATTTTATTAGATTGGTATATTTAAGATCTAAAAGTGGGTGCCATATCTTAATTTTTGATTGAATAACAAGCGATCTCAGCAATTATTTTGTAATACTTGTTTCATTTACCCCTTGGTCATTTGGGAAAGTTCAACATGAAAGCGTTGTTGGCTTATGATAAGCGCAGTATAATTGTATTATTACTGCGCATTTAAAGTTTTGATAAATTATTTTGATTCACACTCCCACTCATAAATGCAGTAAGTTGTAAAGATACGGCGCATATATTACGTTGTAAGAACTAAAATTTAAATCAATCATTTAACACATGTACCGTAAGTAACGAAAACTACTGATAAACGCAGTAAGGAACAATCATACTGCATTCATGGGTAGTAAGTATCGAACGAAAACTTAGTTAATCCATAACATAAACAGTTTTTTAATAATTTTAAATACAAAATATTAATTAAAATACAAAAACCTCATATCAAAATAAACTTTGAGTTTAGCTCTATAAGCCCATATATTTTTTTTTACAAATATTTGCGTAACTAATTGTAGGCACCCCAAAATAAAATTTCAACTTTGATCGCGTTTTTCTCGAAACTGTTCACGTGTTACTTACTGCGTTTATAAATTGTGCGGCAGAATAGAGCTCTGTAATTGGTTCGTATGTCACCCTGTGCGTTCACGCGCACTGTGAGACCTCATAGTAATGTTTGTGAATGCGGGCGTAAGACTTGGTTTACATGGACGCTGTACTTTAATTTCCTTTTTTTCTATCTTCATTCAAATAGTAAATTATACGCACCAAAATTGAAGACCAACAAAATGCATACCACCACCATTTATTCAAAAAAACACATACCCTGACTATAGCTACCTGTTGGTACATGCTGTTGCCTTCCAAGTCAAAGTGGGTGAAGTTAAGCGTGATCCTATGCTGAGGGGGCGCCACAATCTCCCATAGACAATTCTTGGAAGGAGGGTAGAGGTCCGGGAAAGAGGGGGAAGTTATGGTCCCGTTCGGAGCATAGAGAAGACCTCCGCATGCATCTGAAATGTAGAGGTGGTTTAGATTAAAGTGGACTCCAGACAACACTGGTGTCCTTTGATCACCCATGTGTAAGATCGCCTAGATGATAAAAGTGGACTTCTTATCCATGGGTGATCAAAGGACACCAAACTATCGCCTTGAGTCCACTTCGATCACCTTGTTGATCAAATCCAGGCGATTGAAGTGGAATAGACCGTTTAGATGAAGTTTTGATGTGGTGTAGGTCTGTAAATAAATCTCAAGCAAGAGTTTTTATATCACTCGTGAACGAGTGAACTGACATAAAATATGATTAAATGGAGCTTTATGACGATGTCTCATTAAAAAGAATAGAAGGAAGAATGATTTGCTAGAGCTGATTAAAAAGGGGACTTTACTACTTTACTTGGGGAATAGATGGAAGAAACATTAGTAGAGTTACTTAAAAAGGGTCTTCAAATACTCACTCTCGCACTTCTTCCCGTCTGAATGCAGTTCATATCCGATATCGCAAGCGCACTCATATCCTCCTAGAGTATTGACGCAGGAGTGACTGCACCCGTGCTCAATGGACGCACACTCGTCGAACTCCTTCATGAAGGTGGCAGAGAAGCCGGCCTTTTGGACAGTGCTGTCGGATTCGAAGATCACGAGCAGTTTGTTGGAGGTGGATCTAAAAAGAGAGAAGGAATAAATACAATATTGTTATGAATAAACAGTAACACAGTGAATGAATGTTATTAGTTACTAGAGAGAGACAGTACAATTATTATTTCGGCATCTAAAATAAATAAGGTAGAGCTAATTTTTGCACCTATACATATTAGCCTACATACTTACTTACCTACTTACTTTCCGTACTAAGATGTTTTTAAAGTTACTTTCGTACCGAAAATAAAATTAATAATTCCTGAAGAAGAATACCAAGAGAGAGTAGAAGTAGAGCGTTACTTTCATTATCTACTAGAAACAAAATTTGATAATTTATTAAATTATTTAGGTACATCAACTTGATCTAAATAAGAGGAATTCCCAGCATTAAAATTACCTGATATCCGGAGGTATCTTATGGCCACAGAACATGCCAAGAAGGGGGCTGTCCATAGAGTCACCATCTCGAATGAGCACCTTATCATACGAGCAAGTGTCGTGGTTCTCCACCTCGAAGGAATGGAACCGCAACGCCACTTGGTATTCCTATGAGAAATATCAAACTAATTAACAGTCCAAAAAGTATTTTAAAGCCACGAAATTTAATTAAAGCCAACTTTCCCACAAAATTCGCTTTAAATTAGACTCTTAACCTTTTTGCAGTCACAGTACTGACCACTTTTAAAATTCAGTTTAATCTGAGTTCGAAACTCAATTAACCGCAGCTAACCGAATAGGGAAAGAAGATTAAGTAGGCATTAAAAAAAGTAAAGGATGAGAGGTTTTTAAAGTCGGGCAGTTGCTTAGAAATCGGGCTAGTATAATAATATTTTTTTGAGGATTTGTTAAAGCTTACCGGTGGTACTGACAGGCTCCACACACAAAGCTTGTTTGGTTGGTAGTCATCAGGGTAGTTCGGAGACTCCAAGTGACCACTGCTGTCCACCTCAATGTCACCACCACAAACAGCTGCCACAAAAAATACTTTCATTACCCGACTGCGCGACGCAAAGGAGTGGTAATGTGTTTATTTTCAAACTCTATCAAATGAAGTCACAAAACTTTTTACAAAATTAATTTATTTTCTCACTAAAGAACATAGCTTTCAATTGAGCGCCATAAGCCCACATGGAACTTGGTCATTTAATGTACTCGAAAATCTTTTTTCTCCATCGACAATAATTATTTTCACTGACTACTAAGTAGTCGTCGTTAGAACCTATTGAATTTACTCACATACCTTCATAATGTGCCTTAAATCCCTTATGCGGCTTCAGTCTTGGGCCAGGCTGGTAGACCACCGTAAGTCTGGAGCCAGTAGACCTCATGATAGGGCCTTTCCCAGAGCCGCAGATCCTGCCGAGCACGGGAGCGTCTGGCATGTATCCGTCGCGGACTTCTACCCATTCCGATCGGCATTCTTCGGATTTGTGGATGTCTATTTCTGTGGACAAATAATAATAATTATGGATAGTTTGATAGTTATTAAAGGACAATGTTCGTTCTCCATACATTGTTCGCCTAAGAACCAACAATTTTGACATATTACTACCCGAAAGCGAAATAATATGATTCTGTGTGTAAGAACAATGATTCCTGATGGACACTTGCCATAAAATTGATGATTAAGAATATTAAATCACAGCGATTTTATAATATGTCGTTTATGACAACATGGCGTCTAATGTATTGTGTGAATGTATGAACACAGATTCGCGAAAAATGTTTTGTATTGTCGTCACGCCGAGTCGCAGCCAAATAGTATAAAATAATAGAACAAGTTTTAGAAATACAACTCGGCATTCCACTTTTATTATACATGCGCTATGAATGAGGGTTTTCGCGATTGAAAAATCCGCGAGATGGCAATACGTAGACGTGAGGTCCAAATGCTGCATGATTGGTTATTTTTGACATGACATTGACAGATATGTCAAAATCCACCAATCATGCAGCATTTGGACCTCGCGTATACGTATTGCCATCTCGCGGATTTTTCAATCGCGAAAACCCTCATTGGCATAGATTATAAGAGACTGGCAACTATACTAGGTTGATATATGTTTCTCTCACTTCAACTGGCATTGGATTCAACATCGGATTCTGACACTTTTACAGTTATGATACCATGAATATCAGTTTATGGTCCTAATTATTTTCATTTTATTTACGACCTTCGACCAGTTGGACACTTTAGATAGCTTCTTGTAATAGTGTCAATATCTTTTTAGCTTTTAACGCAAATCTAGTCTTCTAATCGATTTATTTTATTTTCAAAATCGATATTTTATTGTCTATGATGGCCGCAGGAACATCACTATACATGGACTCCCAGCAATAAAGTACGGTAATGCCTCGTACAGATTTTATCGGCAAAAATAATGGAACTTGATAGGTTTTAGACCATGCCACGCACCAAAACGTCCGGAAGTTGTAATAGTATTATAGAATAAACGTTAAAAGACTTATTTATTTAATTTTTCAATGCTTAAGTGTCCATTAGAATGAAAGGGTGCTTAATGTATTAAAAAAATTAGAAAATAATTATGATGGGTTAATGTTTTTGGGCGGTTTTTTAGGCGGTTTCTGACAATGTCCTTTCTTAGCGATTAGAGTCGCCTCTCAAACTAAATTATAAATTTATAAACAACTTGAAAAACTCGAACTGCCTAAGGCGGGAATCGAACTCACGATGTTCAGCTCAGATGGAAGAGCAGTCGCCTGGCAAGCGAAAGGTCGTGGGTTCGATTCCCGCCTTAGGTAGTTTGATTTTTCAAGTTGTTTATAAATAATATATAATATAAGTATAATATAAGTATATAATATAAGGATAGTTTGATTGGAATTGTTGTATAAAGAAACCGTAGAGCAAACAATCGTTTTCTCAGGGCTATAATCCTACTGCCTTTCGCTTGCCAAATGAGTGTTGTGGCCTAGAAATCTTTAAAGTTTTTAAAGATATAAGTAGACATTTTGTACGTAGCGATATATATAATCATCGATCAGTAATAATAATTACGAGTAATGTAGAACCTACAAAAATCAATAAAATGTCGTTAAAAGATCCATACAATATTGTTCTTTCAATGTTTTCGAAAGTTACAAGTGTACATTTTGAAAGTTACTTAGTTTGCTCATTTTATAGACTAAAGTTACGACTAACCACTTCCAAGATAACACAGCAGATTAGGTTAAAAGTAATAACTCTTCAACTCGAGACCAACAAATCTGAACTCCACAAGATAAACGTGTCTGCAAAGTTGCGTCCAGAGTGATGGTTCGGCGGTGGGTTTAATTAACAAAACTATTGTCTTGGACGGATTACTCGGACTTCTGCTTAACGGAGATTTATGAGTGCCGGTTAAATTGCTGCTGCAACTAACGCCTGAATTATTATCGTTGGGGAACTGGATTTACTTATCAAGAGAACCACTGGAGTAGTTTTATAAAGACCCGTTGGTGGTTGATGGTGGCCCTCTAGTCGCTTTTGTAATCGTAAAAATCGCAACCCGCAACAATTGAACGTTTGAATTTGAAATTAGAAGTGCCGAATGCCAATTTGTCTTTTTTTCTGAATTTGCCTTTAGTGGCCAGTCCTTTCTGTTTGGTTCTGTACTCCTTGTAATTTCTTCAAAACAGTTGAACCACGTTACAATAATTGGATATTACTGGTCGGATAATCAGAACCAGAAAGATTAAAACAACATCTTTCAAAAACAAATAGGTACTTTTGTTACTCAAATCAAGAACAATATTGAACTACCGCCCCACAAGTCCACAACGACGGTCTTTTTAGGAGCAAATTTTCCCAAAAAAGTTAATTGATAAATTCCGCATTATCCACACCATTGCTTCCGACACTAACCCAATAAAACTGAAACAAATCAACGCGTGAGGTGATTAATTCGTAATCCAGCAGTAATTAATGTGGCTGATTGATCACCCGCCACTCTGATGTGCGCAATAATGGAATACTTATGTCAGACACCATTGGATGGATAGAGTAAGTGCCGGCTATCAATTTGTATTGCACGGTGAGCGATAGCAACTAGTTGACGAGGATTTCACATCTATTTGGAATAGATGGGAGAAGGGGCTCTAAAAGAACCCCAAAAAAAACAATTTGTCATTATACGTATTTCGGCTCATTTTAATATTTAAGTATTTTAGGAGGTATTAAAACGTGTTATCGCAATTTGTCTCTTACGATTCATATTTTTGTTCCAAAGTAGTTTCTAAGTTGTGATAAAATATTTTGACATGAGTGTAATTAATAACGAAATCCTGTTTTTCGATAAAAATAATTTTGAATAAGGCTACCATGTTCATTTTGGATTTGAATTTTCAACAACAATATCTTTATTATTCGTCATCTTTCGTCGTATAAAGATCTTAAAGAACTCCATAAACACAAAAGACGTCCACTGCCATGGTGCAGTGCAATTCAGGTTGTTCTTTGATTACAAAGTTTCCAACCCTTTCACGCCCTAGGATATTTCAAAACCCCTTATTTAATGTTTCGCCACCCTTGTAGACTTGGAAGCTGTAAGTATGGCAAAGATTAGTAACTTTGCTAGTCTGTACAAGACCTAAACTTTGGTTTGACGTGCTCATTGGACCTTAGAATAATGTACGGCCTGTTATACCTCTTGCAAATAAAGACCCTAATATGTACTCACTCAGCCTATTTTAATCTTATCTGAAAATTTTCGCAGGTTCTCGGGTTTACTTGTTAGATACAACCTTATCAGCATAATGCTGAATCTGGCCCTTATTCTATTAAATTACCGACCAGATGTTAGTTCTAAATAGTATTTTTACCTATGTCCTATTTGGGGATTGAACCTATGATTAAGAGCTAAGCTTATGTAGAGAACTATTCTACGTATTATTTACACGATTCAACGTTTTCCAAAAATAACCCTAAGTTTTTTCGATTGTTTCGGATGAATTGAAAGTGCGTAGTGGCTTATGAAATAGAGCTCAGTATTTCATCTCGATTCTTAACAAATACCTCGGAGCAGTCCAGCGGAATAATCCTCAGCAGCTGTCGTCGTAACAAATATATTTTGACAGCGGTCAACTCGTAATCTGCTGTCGGTACTGGCCGGGACAAATGGCTGTTCTGACAACCGTACTTAATCCCCTATTGTGGGCAAGTTGGGAGTTGGGCTTCGAGTAGTTTTATCAACCGACCTCGAGTTAAGACGATTACTACCTTACATGGGTGAAAGAAGTTTTGTTGTAGTTTGAAGGGAAAATATTTTTAATTTTTAACCCCCTTGGGTGTAAGAGATAAACTGCATTTTTTTCAGTGAGTTCATGATAATGTTTTTAGGTAAAGATGGTGGATTTTCTGAAAGAAAATTTGTTTTTAGTCGTCGCGTCTCGTAATTCTGCTAATATTATTCTTAATGTTTACCATGCGGCCATGTAAATCTTTTTATTTTTTTTAGACACAAATTATAGTTTCTAACATTACAACTTTCAATATTAACATGGTTCTTTGTAATAAGAAAGAAAGATTATTTATGTTACGTAATTATTTGATAGAATGGAATAAAATACTATTTTTAACGAATCATCACTAATACTGTAACAAATCACGAGGAAACCTAATACCGTAATGAAAATGGGTTTTAACATTTCCATAGATAAATTAATTTACTAAAACTCTCACTAGCGTTTTGACCAAATAAATGATCTCCTGCAACAACAACGCAAATATATTCCAGTGAATTAATGAATTTATCGGGTCGCTTTTGTTTTAAGTGGTGTCACAGACAAGCTACATCAAGAGTCACCACACCACGTCCAATAGAGTTATACAAAGTGTAAAATTTTAAGCTAAATATACACAATATATAGTCTAAAATGGTGTTTGCTAAAGGAGTTCGAGTCTAATAAAATTGAATAAAACAGAACTAAGTAGAGGTACCTAATTATTACTCCCAACTCTACAGTTAGTGTAAAAACGTTAACACTCAGGGATCCTGAGCAAGAAAATTCAGCAGACTTGATTATAGAAAACCTTCTCTAGGTTCTGAAGTTTGCTATTTGTTGAATTTTGCTTAAGTATCAGCATTTTTTTTATGTCGTCAGAAAAATATTCCATAGTACATAAAAATACTTTATTGATCAACTGAAAATTAGCTTACAGATTCCACTTTTGTGTCGCTAAGTAGTAAATATAAAATTAGTAACAAAAACTACCTAAACCTAATAAAAAATAACAAATGAATTATTAATTTTCGCGAAGCCAAATTTCTCATAAATTGGTAAAGTGTGGGCAGTAGTTTCTGAAAAAGACTTTACTATGGTCATTTCAGTGGCATCTATAGAGTTTGCTAGTCTGCGAGGGCCCAGCTGCCGGCCACCAGGTCATAAATCTTGTAATGCCCTTACAGGAGAATCTCATTTCAATGTGTTGTGGACGGAATGCTT